GCTTCGATTCGTCCGATTACTAAGTATGAGAGCTCGTACACAGATTCCGCAGACATTGTCATACGTTGAAGGGGCGACAATCCTTCTTCGCGGAGGGGGCGACAGGGGACCAATCTGTCTGCAAACTGTAGTATTTTGTGGCATCGATCGTAGCATGCCTGGTGTCTGGTGCTTTCTCTATGCAGGAGGTGATACCGTTCTGTCGGGCTTGTCGTCGTTGTTGTCGCGGGACGTTGCAAACTTTGTCGGGGGTGATAGGCGACCCATAACCTATCGGTGGCTGTGGTGTTGATGTTTGTTTGGGCTTGGTCGTTGTGCTCACGTGATAGCCCGTGACTCAACCGCGGTGGTGTCGATGGTGTTGTCTATTGACGTGTCATACTTTGTGGCTTGCTCTCGAATTTTTCGTGGTCAGAGCCCGCCCGCGGCCACGAGCAGGCTCTTTGGGAGCAGAATCAATGCCGAGGATGACATTATGCCCAAAGTGACCTCTGAGAGCGCGAGCGGGCGTGGTTTGATCAATTTGATGCTGTTTTCAAAAATTTCGTTCTCGCTGTTGTTGATGTTTTTCAGCGGTTATAGGGACCGTCAGCCGTTACGTCGTAACAACCCCCACGGAACGGAAGAACTAGGATACAGGTCACGTGACGATAAGCAGGACCGACGGACGATAAGCGGTCCTGGGACAGGACCGACGGTGCCAAGGGCGGTCCATGGCGATAGACCGACGTCCTGGGTGTCGGTCCCCCAGGATCAGGAAGTGTTCAGCATGGAACCAGACTTGTATATAGTTAGGACTCGAGTCCTCTCGAGTCCTACCTTTCCTAGTTCTTCAGCAATCAACTTCGTAATTACCCTAACCGGTACTTTCAGCTATACCTAAGTGACGACTACTCTACGACTCTTGTTGAGGCCTTGACTGATCACCAAGACCTTTGAAGATCTACGATCTATTCGACCAGGACCACGGAACGACTGTTACTACTCTCAATCCCTGGCTTACTGTTAACACAAACCCACTGTCAGTTAGCTAGCCGTAACACTTTGATTACTCCTGTTCAGTAAGTCACCTTTTGAGAACTACTAAACAGTATAGACAAGATGTCTTCTCGCGCTTCTGCCAAATCACCCACTCCAGGATCCTCATCCTCTTCGCGCAACCAGCCTCAGAGCCTCGCGCAGGAGCCCGCCAACACTGAGGACTTCGACATGCCGGACCTCAAGTACGACTCCGATAGAGATAGCTCTTTCACCAAGGAAAGCTACGATAAGCTCCGACGCATAATCCAGAAACAAGAAGCCGAGACAAAAGACATACAGAAAATCGTCAACGAAAACCGACAAGCAATAGAAAACCTCAACAAGCAACTCCAGCACGCTAGACAGGCCTACAAGAAGCTAGATGTTACGGCCAGCTAACTGACAGTGGGTTTGTGTTAACAGTAAGCCAGGGATTGAGAGTAGTAACAGTCGTTCCGTGGTCCTGGTCGAATAGATCGTAGATCTTCAAAGGTCTTGGTGATCAGTCAAGGCCTCAACAAGAGTCGTAGAGTAGTCGTCACTTAGGTATAGCTGAAAGTACCGGTTAGGGTAATCACGAAGTTGATTGCTGAAGAACTAGGAAAGGTAGGACTCGAGAGGACTCGAGTCCCAACTATATACAAGTCTGGTTCCATGCTGAACACTTCCTGATCCTGGGGGACCGACACCCAGGACGTCGGTCCATCGCCATGGACCGCCCTTGGCACCGTCGGTCCTGTCCCAGGACCGCTTATCGTCCGTCGGTCCTGCTTATCGTCACGTAACCTGTATCCTAGTTCTTCCGTTCCGTAGGGGTTGTTACGACGTAACGGCTAACGGCCGTCCCTATAACCGCTAAGCCCCTGCGGGGTCGTCGTCAGTGGTCTGTTAACTGTCGGGTCGTAACATCAGCTCCCCTCTTAAAGGTCTTGTCCTCGAGACCTGAGTATAGGTAGGTCGTTGGTCCCAGGTTGGGGATCCACAAATTTGCTTCCTTTGTTTTTCATGATGCCGACACCATGTCAGGTCGCGTTCGAAAGACAAAGTCGCACTTGACTATGATAAAAGATCGTGAGAGAGCTGCGCTTATTAAATACGTGGAGTCCCGATCGATTGCTAGCGACATGCCTTGCACTCGTTGTTTCCGTGCAAAGGTCCCGTATCGTTTTGGCGAGAAGTCTACACGCTGTAGGACTTGCATCGAGGCGAAGAAACCTTGTGACGGCGTCCTCGTGGCGTCTACTCGTAAGTCGTGTTTTTGTGTTTTCGCTGTTCTGGGGGTTGCTAATGTTTACTTCTAGTTCAGAAGTTGAACTCTCAGCAAAAGGAGTGGGATGAGAAAGAAGAGAAAGCGGGTGAGGAGCTATTCGCGCTTCATCAAGAGTTTGCTCGTTTGCAAGTTCAAATAGCGGATGCTGCGGGTCGTCTAAAACGGATTCGGACGGTCCGTAAGATGGTTCGGGAGCGGCAGACCGAAGTTTTTAAGCGTGGTATGCAGGAGGTTGACAGGGAGGATGGCGTCCTGGCGGACGACGAAGTCCTACCTGCCTTGGATGCTTACGAGAGGTTCGTCGTTAGTAACCTCCAGGCAGTGGGTCTCGGGAATGATCCTCCTTGGTCCCTTTTTGGTTTTGGTGACGAGTTTGTGGGTTTGGGTCCTCTGGTGGATGGCGCGGGTGCGGGGAGTGTTGGAGGTTCCTCGGCTACTCAGGGCTAGGTATTCCTAGGCGAAGAAACGTTTTGTTGCCCTGGGGTTTCTTGGTTGGTCGAAACTTGGGTTGAGGGTTTCTGACGCGAGGGTTGTATGTTGGTCTTTGCATGACTTTGGCGTGCTGTCGTGTTTCCCATTGCGTCCAGTATTCTTAAAGTTCCTCTTATGCGTGCTCCAAGTTTGATGCGGGTTCCCATGTGTTTTCTTCGTGTCCGTAGTTTTTCCACTTGATTAGGTATTGTATTTCTATGTCATCGTGCTGATCGATATGATCGAGGATCCTTTCGACCTCGTAGTCCTGTTCCGGGTCGACTTCGATATGGTCCATAGTTCGTGATCCTTTTGGTGCTAGCTCGAGAAGTGAAATATGAAAAACTAGATAACACTTCATAGTATCTAGTAGTACGAGTTTGAAGTTAACGTTAGATACCTTCTTCGTGATTTCGAAGGGTCTAAGTTTCTTAAAGTCCAACTTATCGCTTAGTCGTTTTGTTTTGATATTCCGGCGGAGAAGGTATACGCTATCCCCCTCCTTCAGAGTTGGTCCCTCAACTCTTGTCTTGTCAGCGTATTTGCGCATGCGTTCGCGCACAAATTCAAGGTCTCTAGGAAGATCTCGTTGGATTTCCTTAAGTTTGTTAATATCTGCCACAGCTTTCAGAGCTGTTGGGCCTTGTCGGGGTTGTCCATAGGCTGTCGGGTTAAATCCGTAGTTCAAGTAGAATGGTGATTCTTTTATACTTTCTCCTACTACGCTGTTGTAAGCGAACTAGGCCATAGGTAGCAGTTAGACCCAGTTGTTTTGCTAATAGTTGACGTAGCAGCGTAGGTAGGTTTCCATGATCTGATTGATTCGTTCTGTCTAGCCATCGGTTTGCGGATGGAAAGCGGTAGACATCTTATAGTCAGATCCTAGCTGCGAGATCAGGGATCTCCAAAACTTAGAAGTAAACAGCTTGTCTCTGTCGGATACGATTTCCTTCGGCATTCCGTGTTGGCTTACGATCACCTGCAGAAACTTGTAGGCGAGGTCTTCTGCAATGCTTGACTCCATGTACGGAATGAAGTATAAGTACTTTGTGAGTCTGTCGACGATGACGAGGACACTGTCGTAGTGGACGTTGGTCATCGGTTCTCGGGACTTAGGTAACTTAGTAACGAAGTCCAGCGAGATAGATTCCTATGCGGTTTGCGGCACTGGGAGCGGCTGTATCTTTCCATAAGGCTGATGTCGGCTGGGTTTGCTTTTTACGCAAACCTCACAGTCCTTAATCGCTAAAGATACTTCTTGTCGTGTAGCCGTTTTGTCGTAGTGTTGACGGATGCGTTTCCACGTTTTGGTTACGCCTTGGTGACCATGTGCGGGTGCGGAGTGTATCTCCCTAATGGCTTCAGGAGACATCCTTCCAGGCGTGCTGGTACTATCTCTTCTGGCCATCATTAAGAGTCTAGCTGCTAGCACAAGGTCTCCGTTTTTGTCTGTTTTGAGGATAACTCGGGTTTCCTCAGGTACCTAGACCTCGTGGTCCGGTCGTCGGCTGAGGGCGTCGGCCCTGCCGTTCTCCTTGCCCTTCCGGTAGATAATTCTGAAATTGAATTCTGACAAGAATTCGGACCATCGAATTTGTCGTTTGTTAAGATCTTTCGATGTGGTGAAGTATGCGAGGTTCTTGTGGTCGGTGTATACTTTGACCTCGTACTTGGTTCCTGAGAGTTGCGGTCTCTATTCTTTGAATGCCTCGATAATTACCATAAGTTCCTTGTCGTATATCTAGTAGTTAAGTTCTAGGCCGTGTAACTTGCGTAAGAAGAAGGCGCAAGGGTATAGTCGTCCTTCGTCGTCTCGTTAGCCTAGTTGTCCTCCTATAGCGTAGTCTGAGGAGTCGGTCTCGACTTCGAATAGTTTCTCGGGGTTTAGTATAACAAGTATTGGTTCCGATGTGACTTGTTGTTTGATCTCGTTGAAGGCTTGTTCTTGTTCTTCTTCCCATTGCCAGGGAACATCTTTCTTCGAGAGTCTCGTAAAAGGGTCGTTTTTGTCTAAGTACCCTTCTAGGAACCGTCGGTAGTAGTTCACATATCCAATAAAGGATTGTACGTCCTTAACGTTCTGTAGTATAGGCCAGTCTCGTACTGCTGCGATTTTGTCTTTAGACATTTTGAGGATTCCTGGGGCTATCGTAAAACCTAGGAATTCGACTTCTTTAGCGTAAAACTTGCTCTTCTCGGGTTCCACTAGGAGTTTAGCGTCTTGCAGTTTCCACAGTACTTAGTATACGTGTTTTTTGTAGTCTTCCAGAGTCTTAGAGAAGATTAGGATATCGTCGAGGTAAACTACGACGAACACATCTAGAAATTCTCGTAAGACGTGGTTGATCATCGTCTGGAATGTCGCGGGTGCGTTGGTAAGTCCGAAGGGCATCACAAGGTACTCGTAATGTCCTCGGCGTGTTCGAAACGCTGTCTTCCATTCTTCACCTGATTTCATCCGGATCAGGTTATAGGCTCCTTTTAGGTCGAGTGCTGTAAACCACTGTGCTCCGTGCAACAGGTCTCGTAGTTCGGAGATGAGCGGTAGTGGGTAGCAGTTCTTGATCGTAATGTCGTTAAGTTTCCGGTAGTCGACGCAGAGTCGTAGTTTGCCGTTCTTTTTTAGTACGAACAGGATTAGGTATCCCGCTAGTGATGTAGAGGGTCTGATATATCCCTTCTATAGATTTTCTTTAAGGTAAGCGTCGAGTGCTTCCATTTCTTTCTAGTTGAGTCCGTAGATTGCTTCTAGCTTTGGCTCCTTCCCTTCCTTAAGGGGTATCTCGTGGTCGTAGTTGCTGTGTTCCGGGAGTCCGGTCTCGAGTTCTTCGGCGAATAGCTTCTAGTATTGCCGGTATTCTTCTAGGATAGACAGAAGTCGGTCTTCCTTGCCGATGTCTATTACTAATAACGTCCTGGCGTTTGCATCCTTTATCCGTAGGTATGCTAGAAATCTCTTCGCTTCAGGAGTCTTAAGAGGTTCGTTTAAGGCACCGTTCCGTGGTTGCTTCTCAGTGACTGAATCCTGGTCCCAATGGAGTTAGCCTGTTCTCCAATCTATCCGTGGGTTACTGTCGTATAACCATGGTCTTCCAAGGATGACATCGTACTTGTCTCCTATCTCCGTAATATCGAAGTTCAGTCGCTCATTCCGGCCATGGATCTGCAAAGGGAGTTGCGCTGTCTCCATAGCAATGCGTCCTCCGCCGTACTAGACTTATTCTCCTTCAACGGTGCTAAGTTCGTAGCAGTCTTCGGCTGCTTTTCTTTTCCAGGTTATCTTTCTTTCATTCACCGTTCTTAGTAATATGAAGTTTCCTTAGGCTCCGCTGTCGATCATGGCGGTAGCTGTTCTTCCGTTAAGCTGTATTTAGACTTGTACATGCTCGTGTCGTTGTGTCGTAGGCGTCGTTGCGCTACATAGGGACCTTGTCTGGACTGCCTGTCGTTATCCCTTGTCTTCGGTAGGCGAGTCTAGTTTTTTGACTGCTCGTCCGTTCCTTGTTCGTCGTTTTCTTGCTGTTTCTTCCATGCTTCGTCTTTCTTGATATAGTAGACTCGGCGCTAGTCTTGGTAGCAGTGATACCACTGTATTTCTTCGTCAGAGTCCTCTCCAGAGCTGGTGTCGTTGACTAAAGCGACTTCAAAGGCGACTTCCAGTTAGGCATGTTAGCAGGCAACATCGCGAGGTGTTTCCGAGTCGTTGGGGGTGTTCTTGGTCGTTTCTGATTCGACCTGTTCTTCTAGTTCTTAGTTGATTTGGCGGATCCGTGCGGGATCTCCTTGTGCATGTTGTCGTCGTTCGATGTGTGCGTCCAGCGCACCGAGTTGTCGTTGCCACATAGGGTTTTGTGAGTCCTGTTGAATCCGCTACAGGTTGGCTTGTCGTCCTGCGTAGAGGAGGTTCAGTCTTCGCTGATTGTCTTGTTCTAATTCCTCGTTATCGTTCATACTGTCGAGCTGTTCGATTGTCTTACGCTCGATTTTGCTATTGCTTCTATATCCCACAGCGAGGGTCCGTTTAGGTGCGTTAGTAGTATCGTAACCAGATCGTTCTTAAGGTTTCTAGGGGTACCATCCTGCGTATTCCTTACTACTAGAGTAGATATGGCAGTTATCATCGAAGCAGGTGGTCCAGTTGAGTTGTTCATAAGGGATCGTCTTCGTGGCGATACTCGCTTGTCGTTTCTCTAGTACCGGTTGGAAGCGTTCCTTCTTAGGTAACCTGCATTCGTATGCTAGGTGTCCAATCTTCTAGCAGTTATAGCACTGTCTATCTTTCTTCCAACTATCGTTCTTTTTGTCGTTTCTCTATATAGCACTAAGGTCCATTAGTCCACTATAGTAACCATAGGCAGTACTTTGTCAGGGGTTGTTCTAGTTGTTGCGGGGTCTATTGTCGTTTCGCTAGTTGTTAAACTAGTGCTAAGGCTGCCACTAGTACTTACGTCCTAAGTTGGGGTTTTGTCGTTTTTCGCCTCTTTCCTTTCGTCGTTCGAAAAGCCGGTTGTCGATTTTGATAGCAAGTTCGGCGTACTAGAGAAAGTCGTCAGGTCGATCAATCTTAATAATCTCGTCCTTGACTTCGTCTTTTAGTCCTTGATAGAACATAAAGATCTTGGTTTCCTCGGTAAGGTCGAGTTGAACGCTAAGTTGTCGGAAATTAGCGGAGTAGTCTTTAGCAGACTTAGTCTGCTTAAGTTATGCCAGATCTCGTTCAGCTTGTCGCTTTTCGTCGGGGTCTTAGAAGAGTAACCTAAGCATATCCTCGAATCCTTTAAAATTAGCGTAGATGTCGCGGGTCTCGGTAGTACACTCGTCGAGGGTCTCGCATTTGAAGTATTCTTCCTAGATTAGTTCAAACCACTTGAGGGCCTTTCCTCGGAGGTAGGTGGCTGCGTGTACTACTTTTTCGGTTTCGTTAGTAAAATCTCCATAGTGAAAGTTCTAGTAGTTTTTAACCTGAATCAGGAATCCTTTAAGGGTCCCGGGGGTTCCGTCGTAGGTGACAGGCGCACTGAGCTTAAGCTTTTGTCGTCCTCCGTAGACGGGCGTGGTGACGATATTAGCAGCAGCCCGGAGGGTAGTGATTTCCCCCTGGAGTTCCTAGATCTTCCGGAGGTTGGCGTCCCCCTTGATGTCTTCTTCCAGCTTCTTGTAGGCCTGTCCAGCGTGCTAGAGTTGCTCGTTAAGGTTTTCTATTGCTTATCGGTTTTCGTTAACGATTTTCTACATGTCTTTTGTCTCGGCTTCTTATTTCTAGATTATACGTCGGAGCTTATCGTAGCTTTCCTTAGTAAAAAAGCCATCTCCATCGGAGTCATACTTAAGGTCCGGCATGTCGAAGTCCTCAGTATTAGCAGGCTCCTGCGCGAGGCTCTAAGGCTGGTTGCGCGAAGAGGATAAGGATCCTAGAGTAGGTGATTTGGCAGAAGCGCGAGAAGACATCTTGTCTATACTGTTTAGTAGTTCTCAAAAGGTGACTTACTAAACAGGAGCAATCAAAGTGTTACGGCCAGCTAACTAACAGTAGGTTTGTATTAACAGTAAGCCAGGGATTGAGAGTAGTAACAGTCGTTCCGTAGTCCTGGTCGAATAGATCGTAGATCTTCAAAGGTCTTAGTAATCAGTCAAGGCCTCAACAAGAGTCGTAGAGTAGTCGTCACTTAGGTATAGCTGAAAGTACCGGTTAGGGTAATCACAAAGTTGATTACTAAAGAACTAGGAAAGGTAAGACTCGAGAAGACTCGAGTCCCAACTATATACAAGTCTGGTTCCATGCTAAACACTTCCTAATCCTAGGGGACCGACACCCAGGACGTCGGTCCATCGCCATAGACCGCCCTTGGCACCGTCGGTCCTATCCCAGGACCGCTTATCGTCCGTCGGTCCTGCTTATCATCACGTAACCTATATCCTAGTTCTTCCGTTCCGTGGGGGTTGTTACGACGTAACGGCTAACGGCCGTCCCTATAACCGCTGAGCCCCTGCGGGGTCGTCGTCAGTGGTCTGTTAACTATCGGGTCGTAACACTAGAAGAAGACATCAAGGGGGACGCCAACCTCCGGAAGATCCAGGAACTCCAGGGGGAAATCACCACCCTCCGGGCCGCCGCCAACATCGTCACCACGCCCGTCCACGGAGGACGACAAAAGCTCAAGCTCAGTACGCCTGTCACCTACGACGGAACCCCCGGGACCCTTAAAAGATTCCTAATTCAGGTCAAAAACTACCAGAACTTTCACCATAGAGATTTCACCAACGAAACCGAAAAAGTAGTACACGCAGCCACCTACCTCCGAGGAAAGGCCCTCAAGTAGTTTAAACCAATCCAGGAAGAATACCTCAAATACAAGACCCTCGACGAGTACACCACCGAGACCCGCGACATCTACGCCAATTTTAAAGGATTCGAGGATACGCTCAGGTCACTCTTCCAAGACCCCGACGAAAAGCGACAAGCCGAACGAGATCTAGCACAACTTAAGCAGACTAAGTCCGCCAAAGACTACTCCGCCAATTTCCGACAACTTAGCGTTCAACTCGACCTCACCGAGGAAACCAAGATCTTCATATTCTATCAAGGACTAAAAGACGAAGTCAAGGACGAGATCATCAAGATTAATCGACCTGACGACTTTCTCCAGTACGCCGAACTCGCTATCAAAATCGACAACCGGCTTTTCAAACGACGAAAGGAAAGAAGCGAAAAACGACAAAACCCTAACTCAGGACGCAAGTACCAGTAGCAGCCTCAGCACCAGTTCAACAACCAGCGAAACGACAATAGACCCCGCAACAACTAGAACAACCCCCGACAAAGTACTGCCTATAGTCACCACAGTAGACCAATAGACCTTAGTGCTACACAGAGAAACGACAAAAAGAACGACAGTTAGAAGAAAGATAGACAATACTATAACTACCAGAAGATTAGACACCTAGCGTACGAATGCAGGTCACCTAAGAAGGAACGCTTCCAACCGGTACCAGAGAAACGATAAGCAAGTATCGCCACAAAGACGATCCCTCATAAACAACTCAACTAGACCACCTGCTTCGATAACAACTACCATATCCACTCTAGCAGTAAGGAACACGCAGGATAATACCCCCAGAAACCTCAAGAACGATCTAGTTACGACACCACCAACGCACCTAAACAGACCCTCGCTATAGGATATAGAAGCAACAGCAAAATCGAGCGCAAGACAATCGAACAGCTCGACAGTATAAACGACAACAAGGAATTAGAACAAGACAATCAGCGAAGACTAAACCTCCTCTACGCAGGACGACAAGCCAACCTACAGCGGATTCAACAAGACTCACAAAACCCTATGTAGCAACGACAACTCGGTGCGCTAGACGCACACATCGAACGACGACAACATGCACAAGGAGATCCCGCACGGATCTGCCAAATCAACTAAGAACTAGAAGAACAGGTCGAATCAGAAACGACCAAGAATACCCCCAACGACTCGGAAACACCTCGCGATGTTGCCTGCTAACATGCCTAACTGGAAGTCGCCTTTGAAGTCGCTTCAGTCAACGACACCAGCTCTGGAGAGGACTCTGACGAAGAAATACAGTGGTATCACTGCTACCAAGACTAGCGCCGAGTCTACTATATCAAGAAAGACGAAGCATGGAAGAAACAGCAAGAAAACGACGAACAAGGAACAGACAAGCAGTCAAAAAACTAGACTCGCCTACCGAAGACAAGGGACAACGACAGGCAGTCCAGACAAGGTCCCTATGTAGCGCAACGACGCCCACGACACAACGACACGAGCATGTACAAGTCCAAATACAGCTCAACGGAAGAACAGCTACCGCCATAATCGACAGCAGAGCCCAAGGAAACTTCATATCACCAAGAACGGTAAATGAAAGAAAGATAACCTAGAAAAGAAAAGCAGCCGAAGACTACTACGAACTCAGCACCGTTAAAGGAGAACAAGTCCAGTACGGCGGAGGACGCATTACTATAGAGACAGCGCAACTCCCTTTGCAGATCCATAGCCGGAATAAGCGACTAAACTTCGATATTACGGAGATAGGAGACAAGTACGATGTCATCCTTGGAAGACCATAGTTATACGACAGTAACCCACGGATAGATTAGAGAACAGGCCAACTCCATTAAGACCAGGATTCAGTCACTAAGAAGCAACCACGGAACGGTGCCTCAAACGAACCTCTCAAGACTCCTAAAGCAAAGAGATTTCTAGCATACCTACGGATAAAGGATGCAAACGCCAGGACGTTATCAGCAACAGACATCGGCAAGGAAGACCGACTTCTGTCTATCCCAGAAGAATACCGGCAATACCAGAAGCTATTCGCCGAAGAACTCGAGACCGGACTCCCGGAACACAGCAACTACGACCACGAGATACCCCTTAAGGAAGGGAAGGAGCCAAAGCTAGAAGCAATCTACGGACTCAACCAGAAAGAAATAGAAGCACTCGACGCTTACCTCAAAGAAAATCTACAGAAGGGATACATCAGACCCTCTACATCACCAGCGGGATACCCAATCCTGTTCGTACCAAAAAAGAACAGCAAACTACGACTCTACGTCGACTACCGGAAACTCAACGACATTACGATCAAGAACTGCTACCCACTACCGCTCATCTCCGAACTACAAGACCTATTGCACAGAGCACAGTAGTTTACAACACTCGACCTAAAAGGAGCCTATAACCTGATCCGGATGAAATCAAGTAAAGAATAGAAGACAGCGTTTCGAACACGCCGAGGACATTACGAGTACCTTGTAATGCCCTTCGGACTCACCAACGCACCCGCGACATTCCAGACGATAATCAACCACGTCTTACGAGAATTTCTAGATATATTCGTCGTAGTTTACCTCGACGACATCCTAATCTTCTCCAAGACTCTAGAAGACCACAAAAAACACGTACACCAAGTACTGCGGAAACTGCAAGACGCCAAACTCCTAGTAGAACCCGAGAAGAGCAAGTTTCACGCCAAAGAAGTCGAATTCCTAGGTTTTACGATAGCCCCAGGAATCCTCAAAATGTCCAAAGACAAAATCGCAGCAGTACGAGACTGGCCTACACCACAGAACGTTAAGGACGTACAATCCTTTATTAGATATGTAAACTACTACCGACGGTTCCTAGAAGGGTACTCAGACAAAAACGACCCTCTCACGAGACTCTCGAAGAAAGATATTCCCTAGCAATGGGAAGAAGAACAAGAACAAGCCTTCAACAAGATCAAACAACAAGTCACATCGGAACCAATACTTATTATACCAAACCCCGAGAAACCATTCGAAGTCGAGACCGACTCCTCAGACTACGCTATAGGAGGACAACTAGGCTAACGAGACGACGAAGGACAACTACACCCTTACGCCTTCTTCTCACGCAAGTTACACAGCCCAGAACTCAACTACCAGATACACGACAAGGAACTTATAGCAATTATCAAGGCATTCAAAGAATAGAGACCGCAACTCTCAGGAACCAAGTACGAGGTCAAAGTATACACCGACCACAAGAACCTCGCACACTTCACCACATCGAAAGATCTCAACAAACGACAAATTCGATAGTCCGAATTCTTATCAGAATTCAATTTCAAAATCATCTACCGGAAGGGCAAGGAGAACGGCAGGGCCGACGCCCTCAGCCGACGACCGGACCACGAGGTCCAGGTACCTAAGGAAACCCGAGTTATCCTCAAAACAGACAAAAACGGAGACCTTGTGCCAGCAGCCAGACTCTTAATAATGGCCAGAAGAGACAGTACCAGCACGCCTAGAAGGATGTCTCCTGAAGCCATTAGGGAGATACACTCCGCACCCGCACATAGTCACCAAGGCGTAACCAAAACATAGAAACGCATCCGTCAACACTACGACAAAACGGCTACACGACAAGAAGTATCTTTAGCAATTAAGGACTATAAGGTTTGCGCAAAAAGCAAACCCAGCCGACATCAGCCTTATAGAAAGATACAGCCGCTCCCAGTGCCGCAAACCGCATAGGAATCCATCTCGCTAGACTTCGTCACTAAGTTACCTAAGTCCCGAGAACCGATAACCAACGTCCACTACGACAGTGTCCTCGTCATCGTCGACAGACTCACAAAGTACTCATACTTCATTCCGTACATAGAGTCAAGCACTGCAGAAGACCTCGCCTACAAGTTTCTGCAGGTGATCGTAAGCCAACACGGAATGCCGAAGGAAATCGTATCCGACAGAGACAAGCTATTTACTTCTAAGTTTTAGAGATCCCTGATCTCGCAGCTAGGATCTGACCACAAGATATCCACCGCTTTCCATCCGCAAACCGATGGCCAGACAGAACGAATCAATCAGATCATAGAAACCTACCTACGCTGCTACGTCAACTATCAGCAAAACAACTAGGTCTAACTGCTACCTATAGCCTAGTTCGCCTATAATAGCGCAGTAGGAGAAAGTACAAAAGAATCACCATTCTACTTAAACTACGGATTCAACCCGACAGCCTATAGACAACCCCGACAAGGCCCAACAGCTCTGAAAGCTATAGCAGATATTAACAAACTCAAGGAAATCCAACGAGATCTTCCCAGAGACCTTGAATTTGTGCGCGAACGCATGCGCAAATACGCTAACAAGACAAGAGTTAAGGGACCAACTCTGAAGGAGGGGGATAGCGCATACCTTCTCCGCCGGAATATCAAAACAAAACGACCAAGCGATAAGTTAGACTTTAAGAAACTTAGACCCTTCGAAATCACGAAGAAGGTATCCAACGTCAACTTCAAACTCGCACTACCAGACACTATGAAGTATCATCCAGTTTTTCATATTTCACTTCTCGAGCCAGCACCAAAAGGATCACGAACTATGGACCACATCGAAGTCGACCCGGAACAAGACTACGAAGTCGAAAGGATCCTCGATCACATCGATCAGCACGATGACACAGAAATACAATACCTAATCAAGTAGAAAAACTACGGACACGAAGAAAACACATAGGAACCCGCATCAAACTTAGAGCACGCACAAGAGGAACTTCAAGAATACTAGACGCAATAGGAAACACGACAGCACGCCAAAGTCATACAAAGACCAACACACAACCCTCGCGTCAGAAACCCTCAACCCAAGTTTCGACCAACCAAGAAACCCCAGGGCAACAAAACGTTTCTTCGCCTAGGAACACCTAGCCCTAAGTAGCCGAGGAACCTCCAACACTCCCCGCACCCGCGCCATCCACCAGAGGACCCAAACCCACAAACTCGTCACCAAAACCAAAAAGGGACCAAGGAGGATCATTCCCGAGACCTACTACCTAGAGGTCACTAACGACAAACCTCTCGTAAGCATCCAAGGCAGGTAGGACTTCGTCGTCCGCCAGGACGCCATCCTCCCTGTCAACCTCCTACATACCACGCTCAAAAACTTCGGTCTGCCGCTCCCGAACTATCTTACGGACCGTCCGAATCCGTTTCAAACGACCCGCAGCATCCGCCATTTAAACTTACAAACAAGCAAACTCTTGATGAAGCGCGAATAGCTCCTCACCCGCTTTCTCTTCTTTCTCATCCCACTCCTTTTGCTAAGAGTTCAACTTCTAAACTAGAAGCAAACATTAGCAGCCCCCAGAACAGCGAAAACACAAAAACACGACTTACGAGTAGACGCCACGAGGACGCCGTCACAAGGTTTCTTCGCCTCGATGCAAGTCCTATAGCGTATAGACTTCTCGCCAAAACGACACAGGACCTTTGCACGGAAACAACGAGTGCAAGGCATGTCGCTAGCAATCGATCGGGACTCCACGTATTCAATAAGCGCAGCTCTCTCACGATCTTTTATCACAGTCAAGTGCGACTTTATCTTTCGAACGCGACCTGACATGGTGTCGGCATTATGAAAAATAAAGGAAGCAAATTTGTAGATCCCCAACCTAGGACTAACGACCTACCTATACTCAGGTCTCGAGGACAAGACCTTTAAGAGGGGAGCTGATATTACGACCCGACAGTTAACAGACCACTGACGACGACCCCGCAGGGGCTCAGCGGTTATAGGGACGGCCGTCAGCCGTTACGTCGTAACAACCCCCACGGAACGGAAGAACTAGGATACAGGTCACGTAACGATAAGCAGGACCGACGGACGATAAGCGGTCCTGGGACAGGACCGACGGTGCCAAGGGCGGTCCATAGCGATAGACCGACGTCCTAGGTATCGGTCCCCCAGGATCAGGAAGTATTCAGCATAGAACCAGACTTGTATATAGTTGGGACTCGAGTCCTCTCGAGTCCTACCTTTCCTAGTTCTTCAGCAATCAACTTCGTGATTACCCTAACCGGTACTTTCAGCTATACCTAAGTGACGACTACTCTACGACTCTTGTTGAGGCCTTGACTGATCACCAAGACCTTTGAAGATCTACGATCTATTCGACCAGGACCACGGAACGACTGTTACTACTCTCAATCCCTGGCTTACTGTTAACACAAACCCACTGTCAGTTAGCTGGCCGTAACATCTTCCTCCTATACTGTTAGCTACTATTGCCGGTCTCGTAATCTCTTCGTAGAATTCGGGGTCTTTTATCAAAGCCTTTAGGTTGCGATATCTCTTAACGCCTTGTTTAAGTTCTTAAGGTAACTAGTAGTAGAATTCTTCCTTTTTAAAAGCTAATGCTACGTTTTTCGAGATTTTCTTGCTATCTATTTCGACATAGACGCCGTTACCGATTAAATAGTCTTTAAAGAATCGTAGGATTAGGGGAGGTACGTTCTAAAAGTCTTCTTCTAACTAGTTAGCGAAATCGGGAGAAACTTCGTTCCATAGCTTAAAGCCTATAAGATTCCTCTTCTTATAGGTCTTAAGTAGGAAACCTATATAGGAACCTAGTTGCTATAGGCTAGCGTTTATAAGGTCGATTGCCTAGTTGCCTTATACTGCTAGATCGATTATACTTTCGATTCTCTATAGGATAAGGACTATTGATTAGCTTTTAGTAGTAACGCTGCTTGCAAGCGATCCTTCTCGTAAATTTCGCTCTATTCTAATAGTATAAAAGGATTACTTCTATTTAGAATCTTAAATTCTAATCCTTAACAGCGTTAGCTACGATTAGTATAAGATATAGGCCTAGAAGTAGGAGTTAAAAGACGATTCGGGATATTACGATTCTAAGGGGAAAGAATCGTAAAATCGGGGATTTTCGTCGGTTCGTCATTTATTTCCGTCGGCGCCGTTCTCGCTAATATTCTTAAAAGGTATAAAGGTATATATAGGTCTCGAATTAGTAGGGAGAAAGTTCTACCGTAGATTCTCTCGTAAATCTCTCTTTCTCGCTTTAGGCTTCGCTCCTTACTATTAGGAAGTTTAGAATCTAGCAGACAGTTAGCCTTATAACGCTTATAACTACGTACGTTTCTCTTAAGCCGTAGCCTCGGAGGCGTATACGTATAGCTATATAGGCGGATTACTGCTAGTAGTCTTCTACTTGCCTTTCGGCGTATTCTTCTTCTAATAGGGAGGTCTCTTATAGTAAGCGCCTTGCGGTTAGTACCTCGTCTAGGGATTTATTAAGAAACTAGCAGGCGCTTCGTAATTAGCACCGCGCGTAGGGGATAGTTATAGTTAGGGAAGTTGTTATCCCTTATAGGATTCGTGAATCTTCGCCTTTATAGCGTGAAGAGGTTAGAAGACCGTCGATTCGGTAGGTCTCTTCTTCTAGTAATTAAAAACGCGTAATAGAACGCTCTTGCTAGCGATAATTAGCTACGATTAACCTTATCCCGCCTAAGGTAAGCATAGCAGTCCCTAGGTTACTCGAATAATCGGATTGCTAGTAGATTCGAGGAAAAGAAGCTTTCTTCTACTGGTTTCCGTAGATCCTAGTTACTCTCGCTTCTTCTCTCGTTAGCACGAAATCCCTACTTTTACCTAGGCTTAGGTATCTAGTTTAAGAAGTCGTCTCTTCTAGTATTAACCTTGCTAATCTACGGTTTATCCATAGCAAAGTAGTAATTATAAAGTTAACTAAATTAATAGCAACTATAAGGTTTACTACTGATTAGTATAGGTTTTATAAGGGGTAAAACGGAATTCCGTTCGTTAATAACAAATAATAGTAAATTAGTTCTAATCGATGGTTCATGATAGTTGAAAGTGGTGTTGTTGACTAGAAGGTGGGGATATTCCCCCTTGGCCTGTCACGTGGGTCTGGGAGGCTTGGGCCTCTCAGCCTGGCGGGCGTGTGGCTGGAAGTGCCACACGACTCCGTATTCCAACTATCGCAACATTATCACTCGAGAAAAAGACGATAATACCCAACATCAAATTTGATACACCAAGTGTTAGCAGTACGTTTTGAATTCCCTTGAACTTTTTATTATCTGACTGATGGTATCATAGTACCGTTTTCATCTTCTGGGCTGAAGGTGCCGACAAAACCTTTGCCTTGGCCCGAAGAACGGGCTGAGCGGATCGGGGTTAATAGCTTTGGGATCGGTGGAACAAACGTACACGTTAGTCTGTCGGTTCTTTAATAATCCAAATACATGCTAATAGGATTCTGAACTCTAGATTATACTGGAATCGGCCACATCTTTGACCTGTCCAACTACCGTCAGAGGACTAGATAACATGGACACCCCACCGCCCTCGCCTCCACTCCGAAAAGAACTGGCAACTCTTCTTCTATTTTCAGCCGGACATGAGGAGTCTCTCAAGATTGCGGTGAAAGGTTATAAGGACCTATTAAACTCTCAACCATCCATCTTACAACGCGTTGCTCATACTCTTACTCATCACCGGAAGCACCTGAAATATCGTAGTTTCGTTGTAGTCACGGACGAGTACGAAAAGCTGGTCTTTAATCAACCACCTTTGGCAAGCTTCAGATCAAACACCCGAAATGAGGGTATCGCATTTATTTTTACCGGCCAGGGGGCTCAGTGGGCTCGAATGGGTTCCCATTTGTTGAAGACCAGCCGGGAATTCCTTCAAGATATTCGGGAGATGGATATCGTATTGAAAGGTCTCCCGCGGGAACATCGACCTAGTTGGGACATAAAAGGTAAATTCATCTACTCCTTTGGTTCAGTTCATGGCATGAAGAGTTGGGCTAAAGGTGATAATTCAGGGGAGCTTATGCGATCTGAGACTCTGTCCCGGCTGGGAGAGGCTGAGTTTGCGCAGCCAGTATGTACCGCACTTCAAATCGCTTTGGTTAAACACCTTGCAAGATATAACGTTAAACCAAAAGCGGTGGTTGGACACTCAAGCGGTGAAATTGCAGCTGCATATGCAGCTGGAGTGCTTACCATGAAAGAAGCCATTATCGTAGCCTACTATCGCGGGCTTTCTGTCAAGAAGCTGAAGAGCAAAGGCGCAATGGCAGCTATCGGTCTAGGTAGAGGCGAGGTTACGGTCTTCCTAGTGACGGGTGTCACAATTGCCTGTGAAAACAGCAGCACCAGTGTCACTCTATCTGGAGACGCCGAAGCTCTTGACCGCGTGTGCCTGTCAATTAGGAAGGCGAAGCCCAATGCATTTGTCCGTCTTCTCAAAGTAGATAAGGCATATCATTCCCGTAAGTTAAGATCTACTTCAGTTTAGTCGCCGTTATTTTACTAATTCGTTCTAGGCCACATGAGTGCCGTCGGCGCAGAATACCAAGCCCTTTTGAAGCCACATCTCAAGCCCTGTTCACCCACAATCTCATTCTTCTCCAGTGTTTCATCCACGAAGCTCGAGCAGGCTTCAGACTTTGGTCCTGGGTATTGGCAACATAACTTGGAGTCTACGGTACTTTTCCGTCAAGCCGTCACGAAGCTTCTCCAGACTTGCCCGACAGAGTTACACCTTGAAGTCGGCCCACACTCTGCACTCGCAGGGCCTCTCAAGCAAATTTATTCTGAAACTGCTGTCTCGCCAGCTTATGCTTCAGTACAGAAGAGGGGCGAAAATAGCATGTTTTCGTTTTTAGCAGCTGTTGGTGAACTACACTGCCGAGGCTTCTCCGTCCGATTCCCTAAGATAGATGATATTCGCCCACTGACAGATTTACCGCCATACCCATGGCATCGGAGTTTGACCTACTGGCCTGATTCGAGGATTATAAAGGGATGGCAGTTTCCGGAACACCCACCACATGAGCTTCTTGGCTCACGTGTCCTTGAGGGAGCTAGTGCGATACCCAGCTGGCGTTGTGTATTGTCTCTCGACAAAGTCCCTTGGTTGAAAGATCATTGCGTCGGCCCAGATGTTGTTTACCCCGCTGCAGCATACGTCACGATGGTTGGGGAAGCTATCCAGCAGCTGTGTAAAACTAAGGCTTTCACCATTCGTGATTTATCGATCACGAACGCTTTAGTTTTAACCCAGGGACAACATGTTGAAATCCTGACATCAGCCCGGCGGGAGCGTCTCACCCGAGCAGATGACTCAGAGTGGTGGGAACTCAGCATTCAAAGCTGGAATTCGACGAAAACATGGACCACGCACTGTACCTGTCGAGCTAAGGGTGGCCGGACTTCTAAGAAACCAGAACTATCGACTGTGAAAGGACACACTTTTCTACGTACTGCCCCAAGCCGTCACTGGTATAAAGCAATGTCCAGGGTAGGGTACAACTACGGCCCTCATTTCAGAGGCATGCAAACCATCCAAGCAAGTGTCACTCACCCTGCTGCTCTCATTGACGTATCTTTTGAAGGTGCGTCCCAAAAGGAGAATGATATCAAAAGCTATGGACTGGATTCTAGGATAATAGACCAAGTTTTTCAGTCTTTGGTGGTGGCCGCCCACTCTGGCCAGCCTCGCCTGCTACAGAAGCTACATCTCCCAACACAGATCCAAGAAATTTTCATTGATGGCTTAGACGCTTCAGAACCACTACAGATAAAGACTCTGGCGACCGGTGCTAGTGGTGTTTGTCAAGGTGAAGCGCTGGGAGTATGGGCTGATGGCATTAATGAGTCCCCTGTGGTGTTCATGAAGGGCATGTGTTTCTCTTCAGTCAACCTCGAGAATTCAGACACCAGTCCGATTCGCGAAACGAAAGCATCTCACGTATCACTAAAACCAGATATCGACCTAGCCGACTCGGGAATCTTGGTCTCATCCCGGGCCACCGAGGAATTTTCTGTCGTGCATCAACTTTTGGAAGAGCTCTTCGTTCATTGCGGCTCTGCTATGGTCCATGAACTCACTACTTTTGAACATGGCCCAGAAATTCAACCTCATTTGAAGAAGCATTTAGATTGGTTGAAAGCACACATTTCTCTCGCCAAATACCGACGTGATTTGACACAGGAGGAGCGCAAATCTGAGATTGAGATGATCTCTACCCGCCTCAAACATACGCCAGCATCTTCAGCAGCTATTCTTATCAAACGCTGCTACAGTCATGCTCGAGCCCTCTTCGCGTCAGAAACAACGCCCCTTGAGGTATTTTTGCAAGGCAATGCACTTCACGAGCTCTACGACTGGATGAACACATTGTTTTCCTACAGCACTTTGCTTCAGCTTTTGTCTCACAAGAGGGGTAGACATCTGAGAATATTGGAGATTGGTGCTGGCACTGGCGGTCTGACTGCTCGAATATTAAGTAGTCTCATGGCCTTCTTTGAAGACGGCAAGGTCGTTGGCAAGTATGACTTCACGGATGTCTCAGCTGGGTTCTTTCCCGCGGCAAAAAAGCGCTTTGAGAAGATTCCCTCCAATTTCTTGGACTATCGTGTGCTAGATATTAGTCGGGACCCGATTGATCAAGGCTTTGTTGAGCAGGAGTACGATCTTATCGTTGCCAGCAATGTAGGACTTTCAAATTTGGCAGAGAAGCAACTGTGCTAATATTATGCTTGCAGGTTCTCCACGCCACCCCTGACCTTGACGCAACCCTACGACATGCTAGATCGCTACTAAAGCCTGATGGGCGGTTGCTCCTGCATGAGCTCTGCTCAGGTAAGCAACACCAAATGTTACACACTTCTTACTGATAGTCAATAACTAACAAGGCTTTGTTAGACACGAAATGGATAAATTTCATCATGGGATATCTTCCAGGATGGTGGCTTGGAGCGGGTGACAGTCGGCCTGACGAGCCATATATCTCACCTGAGAAATGGGCAGACCGACTTTCAGCAGCGAGATTCTCTCCTCAGAATATCTTCTACGATGATGATACAGAGTACAGGCTTAATGCCACCATCATTGCGCGGCCTGCGTGTGCCGATTCAGCGACGAGACCACTAAAGCGGCGAATCACATTGCTATATGAGCATGATAAGTTCCATCCGGTTGTAGAGACACTTCGCCAGACGCTTGAAGAAAAAGGCCACTCAGTTGTCTGTAGCAACATGGAATCAGTCGACATCGAAACCAACTGTACTGCTGTGTCAGTAATCGACCTCTGCCGTAATGGCGGATATTTCAACGACATGACGCAGGAGAAACTAGAGGCCTTTCAGCACCTACTTCAGATCTTGCAATCCAGGAACTCTGCTCTGCTTTGGTTGACGAGATCTTGTCAGTTAAACCCAACCAATCCAACATATGCCCCAGTTCTTGGTGTCGCAAGGACTGTACGCGTTGAGATGGGTCTTCCTTTTGCTACACTAGAGGTCGACGATGTCCATCAAGATGCTATTGAATCTGTTTCCAAGACTCTGGAGAGTATTCATGACCAAAGAAAAGTATCATCAAGCAGCTCCGTCAAAGATATGGAGTTCGTATACTCATGCGGTAGTATTCTCATACCCCGTTACCAGTGGACATCTATCTCTCAGTCTCTCCAAGCTTCCAGCCCTCCAGCACCGTCAAAGGCACTCCGCATTGAGAGATTAGGGGCACTTCAAACACTTCACTGGGCTTCTTGCAAGTTGCCACAGCAACTCTCACCCGACCATGTGGAAATCAAAGTTCACGCAGCTGGTCTAAACTTCAAAGACGTCATCACAGCAATGGGTCTGATTCGGCCCTCAAGTCCCCATGGTTTGGGCTGTGAAGCAAGTGGAGTTGTTACAGCTGTAGGCGCATCAGTCTCGAATCTTCGTGTCGGAGATCGCGTGATGGCTTTCGCTCCCGAGGCAGGCTGTTTATCGACTGACCTTCAAATCCCAGCACAGCTCTGCGCGCGCATCCCTGATTCCCTAAGTTTTGCTGGTGCCGCCGGAATGCCGTGTATCTTTATTACCGTCTTGCGTGCATTGGTAGACAAAGCCTGTCTTCAATCTGGCCAGAGCGTACTCATACATAGTGCCGCTGGCGGTGTCGGCATTGCTGCCCTCCAAGTTGCCAGATGGGTCGGAGCCACCGTTTACGCTACTGTTGGCAGCGATGAGAAGGCGGAATTTTTATCGCGGGAGTGGAATATTCCGAGGGAACGCATATTCTCTTCCCGAAATCCAGGCTTTGTCGACGGAATTAAGTCCGCAACATGCAACCGTGGCGTGGATGTTGTTCTCAATTCACTCTCGGGCGAGCTACTTCACATGTCTTGGGACTGTGTGGCACCACATGGTGCCTTCATCGAACTGGGCAAACGAGACACCCTCGCTGGTGGTAAACTTTCCATGGCTGCCTTTGATGAAAACCGATCCTTCGTCGGCGTCGAAATGGCGAACCTCGCCTCGCAGAACCCCAACATCATCTGCCATCTTCTGGAACGGACCGTTGAGCTTTATAAGCAAGGCGTTATCACGCCTGTTCAGCCGATTCACAGTTTCTCTTGTCAAGAAGTTGAGGGGGCATTTAGACATCTCTACACGGGAAAGCATATTGGCAAGGTCGTCGTGAATCTCAGCGAAGAAAGTCAAACGACTTTGGGAAGTACTTGTACCATACCCACTCCAGAGTTCAGACCCGATGCTGCATACATGCTCGTGGGTGGAATGGGTGGTCTTGGTTCCTCAATGGCTCGGTGGATGGCTTCTCATGGCGCACGAGATCTCCTTTTTGTTTCTCGGTCTGCCGGCAAAAGTGAAAGCGATCAGCGTCTACTAGCCGAGTTACGAGAAATGGGCTGCGAAGCTACCGCTGTGCCTTGCGACATCACTGATGAATCAACTGCAAATGAGATGATATCAACGATATTGTCATCCAAGGTTATCTCCGGCGTGGTCAACCTAGCGATGGTTCTTTCGGATGCAGAACTACCTGCTCTCACGATTACGCAATGGGAAACGGCCACTGCCCCAAAGATTCGAGGGACATGGAATCTTCATCGACTCTTACCTCGCAATATGGATTTCTTCGTCCTCTTAGGCAGCACATCAGGGATTCATGGATATCCTGGTCAGGCTAACTATGCGGCTGCGAACGCCTTTCTAGACAGCTTTGCGCAATATCGGCACGGACTTGGACTGCCATGCTCCGTAGTTGACCTCGGAGGTGTGGAAGATGTGGGTTATGTCAGCCGAACACAAGGGGTTGAGGATACTATGAGAAAAGCTGGTGTCAAGTTGGTTTCCGAGACGGACATGTTGAGGGCTGTGCAACTTGCCATCACGCGATCACAACCACGGAACAACGAACTGCAATCTGGCAAGGAAATTGCTTTCAACAGCCAGTTCGTTGTTGGGCTAGACTGTACTATTCCAATCGACGACTCCGCCACCAGAGTGGTCTGGAGACAAGATCCTCGGATGGTTTTCTATCCCAATGATTCGAATAGTCACGCAATGGAAGAGAAAGAGAGAGAACCGGGCTTATCAAACCTCATATCCCGCCTGCAACAAAATCCACAAGAGCTGGACGCACCCGCAACAGTCTTGCGCTTGTCCGCCGAAATCGCAAAGAGAGTATTTGGTTTTCTGATGCGAGAAGTTGACGGGAGCGCTATTGACATCGGCTTATCGCCGTCGGAGCTTGGAGTTGACTCACTCATGACTATTGAGATCCGTAACTGGTGGAAGCACACGATGGGTGTGGACGTGAGCGTGTTACAACTAACAAGCGCACAAAGCTTCGAACAGCTGGGTCATTTGGCTGTGTCACAGCTTAAGAATAAACTGCTGGCTTCGAAGGGGAATAGTGGTACTTCAAGTGAAAAGTAGTACAATAGATATATAGATATTCATGAAGTTTTTACCTTCTATAGAGAGAGAAAAAAACAACCTGCAAGTTGCAATCAACTTTAGAAATGAGAAATTGAAGTTCTTCCTCACCATCATATTTGAGAAATTGAAGTTCTTCCTCACCATCATATTTGAGATAAGGTACTGTGACTTATGACTTGACAGCTGTTGGCGGCCCGGCAGCCATCTTTGTATTCGGTGAAGCCTCAATTTGCCCGAGTCCCGAGGTGGGGCCGGAAGCAAGTGGATGACTCAGCTCGGTGTGAGGTAAGAGCTCAAGTGGGGCTGGCGAATGGAATTGTCGTCATTGCTAATTCATTCTGATGCATCTTTCTTTCGCACAAGCTTCACATCCGACAGCTTTAGCCTCGATTCCCACCCCGCCAACCGGGGTCAAGCCGCCAGGGTCGGCCATGAAAGATCCGTGAAGGAATACTTCTGGTCTTTGGAGTAACATGTCCGCCAAAATGTTTCGGTCTGTCGCCTTCGGCCGTCGTGCCCGTCCGCTCGTCGCAGTGCCTATTCAAGCTTTCCGACCGCTCAACTTCTCTACGACAACAGTTGCCCGGGCGGCCGAGATTCGCGATGTGTCAGCTCTCCCTCGTAGAATCATTCCAAAGTACCGCGATCCTCCGAATTCGACGTCAGGGTTGCTGTCTTTGCATTGGCCTTCACCGCCGCGCAACATCCTTCTTATGCCGAAGTTACGATCCCCTCAGGTCCTTCGTGCGACGATAGACTTCGCGAAGCACTTGAACAGCACCTACACCGGCTTGAACTTGATCTTCGAACCCAGAGTGGCGCAGATGGTTCACGAGTCGTTGAACTTTCCTATCTACACTTGCGATCCCTCGACTTTCCCAGATAAGATAGACATGATCACGACTTTGGGCGGCGACGGCACTATACTGCGAGCTGCCAGCCACTTCAGCATGTACTCCTCCGTTCCTCCAATTCTTGCCTTCAATTTTGGCACGATTGGCTTCTTGGCGGAATGGAAATTCGAAGAATACAAGAGGGCGTGGAGGGAAGCATATATGAGTGGCAGCAGCGTCGCCGTCGAGGATCTCCTAACTCCTCATACAAGAGTCGCAAGTGGAGAGAAGGAGCACGAGCCTAACGTTAAAGGAGACAACGGATGGCATAACTCTCCGGGGAAAAGCATGGGACCTAGCCGGGCGGCCAAGATTCTGCTTAGACATCGTCTACGCGTAGGCGTCTTTGACACGAATGGACAGAATATTAATGGCCAACTGCTGCCAACTACAAAGTCCCAGGCACACCTCCCAACAGCCCCTCCCGAAGACACAATCTTGACCAAACGAGACATACCTCAACCCATCCACGCACTCAACGAGCTTCTTATTCACCGTGGCCCGAAGCCTCATCTCGCCCACATCGACATATATCTAAACAACCGGTTTCTGACGGAAGCTGTGGCGGATGGTATCCTCCTTAGCACTCCTACAGGCTCAACAGCTTACAGCCTGAGCGCTGGCGGCTCCATCATCCATCCTCTCGTCAAATCCCTTTTGATCACTCCCATCTGTCCCCGCAGTCTCAGTTTCCGACCACTTGTGCTTCCTCTCAACACCAAGGTCACGTTGAAGGTTAGCAGCAAGAATCGTGACGGCGAGCTTGAGGTTAGCATCGATGGCAAGCGCAGTGCTGGAGCACCTATCGGCACCGAGATCCGCGTCGAGGGCGAGATGGTTGGCGAATCAAGCAGCGGTGACTGGAAGGGCGGCGTCCCTTGCGTTATCTGCGGGCCAGGTAAAGGCGATGCTACAGACTACGACGACGATGGCTGGGTCGGGGGCCTGAACGGCCTGTTAATGTTCAACTACCCAATTGGAAGAGGGCAGTAAATTCATTCTTGATACCCGGATGTAACAAAAAGTCTTTGGTAGGCGTTGGTGGTATGATCAAGCCAATGTGTTTACATTGTTTTGAAATATGGACATATTGCAACCTTTGTATTAGTCGCTGGTTCTTCAATCCTCAAAAGTAATGAACAATGGCGAGCAGCTCGCCTCGTTTTTTCATATTTTTTGTCTTTGAACAAATATCGGTCTTTTCATCATCAAAGCCATTGTTCAAAAATAGATTGAACAATTGGATAAAACAAGCTTGGTGAGTGCGAGTAACTGGAAATACAACAATGACATTCACGAACACAATCAACGTCAAAAATGTCTATATATTTGGGCGGAATCGTTTCGGTTTCTAGGCCGTTATTCACTCACGAGTAGCAATCTATCGATACCAAATCTCTTTTTGCCACTACTTAACAGAGAGCCAGCATGAGCGACAACATTCACTTCAATCAACTTTCCATTGAAGACCCCATGCACGATGCAGTCGAGCGATGGTATCAGGCCAATGTTGCACCAGTGCAACGAAGCAGACAGATACAATGGGACTTCTACAACTCCATGCCCATGCCTGTACCGACGCAAGAGTTGCCTCAACAGCATACTGACAACCGCTTTCTAGACCTGCCACATGAATTGCAAGACCAAGTATATGAAGCCGCATCTGCTGAGGAAGATGAGAGCATCATGCGTTTTGTTTCACTTCATCAAGCCGTCCGTCACAATGCGAATTGCGTCGCTGCAACGTGTCATTGTAAGGCCCTCAAACCAAATTACATCACTTTCCATCCCCTGCTTCGCTCCTCTATACGTCTCCCAGAATGGCGAGCTCTCTGGCAAGCTACAAACCGACTTACACGAGATTCCATCATCTCCCACGTCAATCGCCAAAGTCACGCCGCTGTGCACCGTCTGCGAAGACTTGACCCTTTCCCCCATGAACAAGGTGACTGGAGCCTAACCCAGATATCGCAGACCGATCGGAATGGAACAATCGTTGGTAACCCCTACAATTGTACGTCAAAAGATCTCATTTTTGTCCATGTTCCACCCGTTAGCTCTATACTGCCCATCTACAGTTCCGTCGGCAACGTTCATCGTGTTGTTACCTTCGACCCTCTGCTTGAACAAATTAAGTGCATCGCATTATCCATCGATAACTGGGATGATTTGGCTTTTGACACAGGGCTGGAAATGATATATACGCGCATGGATTTGCAGCACATCTGGCAACTTACCGAAGAACAGGGTCTAGGCAACGTTCTCGAGGGCCATTTCCCTTCCGAGTGGCCTCCAAAGGAAGTCCGCGACAGCAACATCTGGGTCCCTAACCTTCCTCAGAGACAGCTCAGGCAGAACCCAAATGCCGTTGTCCCAGCGGGAGGTGGCGCGAACCAAGCAGCGCCTGTCTTTGATCACTGGCGCCAGAACATGCGAGTCATCACCGACACCTTTCCCGCGCTTGAAGAGATGTATTTTGTGGACTTTGACCTTCTGGCTGACCACACTGACTTTCGGGCTCTTGACAGATACCGCAATACGTACTGCCGGGACGAGGATTACTGTGAAGAGTGCCAGTATGCTCACCCTGGCTTCCCGCGCGTCTGGGGCGGACTGGAGGAGATCGAGTTCATTGAGGTCAGAGTATGTGCTTGCGCCGAGGGCGCCGAGCCACTATACCCGGACTTGAGCCATTGGGACGGTGTTAGGTGGATGATCCGACAGGGATGGCCGGCAAGAGATGTTAATGGAAATGCTTGGATACGACATGTTCCGGCGTTGAAGTTAGTTGCACCGATTTTTCGCTGGCGGCCTAGCTCTTGAAGTTATTTGGAATGGGCATAGATGAGTGAGTGATATTAGATGACCAGCCCTCCAACTGGGAGAACTTGGGACTTTATTCCTAGATTTCTTAGATTCTAATTCGGTGTCCTTGTGACAGGCTTCGACAAGTCAGACAAGAAATCGCCCGGTTATCCGGTTTCCACCTTATTAGAAATGGCAGTATTAACCGATTACTACTTGGCAAATATGATCAACCGTAAGAAGTGTTTGAGGTGTCCGAAAGAAAGATGAGTTGACAAACAGTCTGAAACGCGCAGTGTTGTCAATTGCACTCTGGGGGAAATGGTCTAGGCCTCTTAACTTCTCACAGCTATTCATAGGAAAGCAATAACTGACCATAGCCCTGTCATTGAATGCTGCTTTGGGGATTAGCTCAACATCAAAATGAAACCGCGTCCGAGATTAATGAACAAAATAGAGTGCCCGACCAACCACCACATCCACAACGATGATTATAAAGAATTCACGCTTTCTAATCAAAGCTTAGTTCTGAGAGGGGATTGGTTGACATAAAATTGTACCACGACATATATGCTGACTGATGACCCTTACATTCATGATGTGGAACTGCACTTTAGTTTTTAGGTTTCTTCTGATAGCATACATGACTTGCGATGCCTAATGAAGAAGAATTCTTAAATCATGGATGTCGATTTAACTCCAATCGCGCCGCAGACTCCACATTGACTCCTACGACTGTTAGATTCAGATCAGCAGTCTTCTCAACCATCTTGGATCCTACGCTAGGGAGACTTGATCTAAGGAGCTTTGGTCTTCTGACCAACACCCTTAGTTCGCTTTTTGGTCCTGAGTCAGTTTGATAAACGGGCGACTAGCCTCGCCGAAGCTTGGCGGAGCAGGGCGTCTTACAGGCAAGCTTCGTGCCACTCCGTCCATCCTCTCATCCTCTCTCCTTCGCTTAATCGCAGGGACAGCTTCCCAGCCGGCTGCATGCAGCTGATGGTCACAATGCGTGAATATAATGACGTGGATTACGGCAAAATACGTGCAGTAAGCCCATACCGAAAGTGCTTAGCTCTCCTAATAGACGTTGTACTAGTCTCTACCACCGTTCAAATGCTGGCTTTCAGCGTTGTTTGTTTTTGGCCGTTAATTGCTGATTCCCATCGCAACGTTTACCCTCTAGCGTGCATTATCTACAGCGTCGAGTGCTTAAACATGGTGCACATAAAAGATATATCGGGGAATCGTATTGTGCCGATATGCTCGCGTTGTGTTGAAGTCAGGAACAACATTTGCGACGCGACAAGTATTCAAAGCTCTGACAATGCCGACTTTCCCCCCACATCTCCCGTCGGCGCTGTGCCGTCTCTACCTGGCTGGGATGCAGCTAACGCATGGGATGACCGCCGAGCCACCGGCACGCATGTACGAGGTGCCAACACATGCCCCGGGCTTGTGGAAACTTCGAAAGAAACCGTCCCAGCTTTTTTTCGCCAAAGGTTCTTCTTGTCTTCCCGTGGTGCCGTGTAATCGGCCTTCTCAGACTCATTGTCTGCCGCAAGGAATACCGGCAAGGCGGTGTATTTTTTTCCCACAACTGACGAGTGATGGTTTTGTCTTCCCCCTGTCGATGATGTTCTCGACCTCCTCCCCCAGCCTCCGCTCCGTGTCATGAAGCATTCGGAAGCTCTATTCCTCCTACATACACTCCAAAGGTCGAGCAGGCGGTGCAGTGGTTTGTGTCCACGCAGCGCTACCGCTTTACCCCCAACTGTTTCTTCGGCACATTGCCACACAGCCCTTTGCTAGTATTCACTTGACTACGCTGTAGCAAAAGCCGGCCTCGTCCATAATTCCAGCTTGCAGCATTCCGTGGGGCAAACTATGATTGCCAAGTCACTACATTGTCTGGTTCCACCCCTTTCCTTGCTCGACTATCCGCACCTTCGGTACCATAAGATCTCACCGTAGCCCTTGTGGCGGACGTAGGGGGCCCTCGATGGGTTTGTTGAGTAAGAGCCCCCTGACATATTGCCACGGGTCTAGACGCCGCCAGTTGATCATCTTTCTCTCCCTAAGAGCTAGGCAAGCACTACTTGCCGACTCTCCCTTTCGTTGATCATCACGGCTATTTCCTACTGCAACACGACCCAGGCCATGCGGCTAGCCGATAGTCGCTTGCAGTTCTGTGAGGGAGCTGCGCCGGTGGCTTGCATCTCGGCGACGAAACCGAGGAAATAGTCCTGTGTGTAAAGTGCAGTGCAACTCTGACAAGCAGCATGGCAACGATTATCACTATATTAGGGAAGCCGCTCAGATGGTCACCCTCGCCCTCACCCCGGGCTCAGAGGTTCCATGACCATCGAGACGCCCCGGAAGAATCGAAGAACGCAAGATCCGGCATCATGGGACGCACATCTATGGCAAACCTGGTACTTGTCGGAATCCTCTCGCTTGTTGTGAGAGCAGTCTGTATATCCAGGCCTGTGCAGTATTCAGAGAACGGCAAAAAATATGAGTGCAAGTGCTCACCTGCAGATGATTGCTGGCCCAAGTTGAACGCGTGGAACAAGCTCAACACCACCGTGGGAGGCAACCTTGTCAAACATATCCCGCCCGCTGCCGTCTGTTACAACGAATTTCGCGGGATCCCGACGTACGACGCCGCAAAATGCGCCGAGGCAACATCCAAGTGGACGGATGAGAGATGGCAGTAAGTTTTTCTGGCTTTTTTTCTTTGTAGTATCGTATCAGTGAGAGGTGAAGCTGGCAGTATTGACATAAGCCCGACTAGAATCTCCCAACCAGCATCGCAACTTTGGACTTGGGGAAGCAACAACACTTGCGAACTTACACAGGACCCCACGCGCACTTGTACGCTTGGCAATTATCCCGAGTATGTCATCATTGCCAAGACGAAGCAGCACGTCAAGGCAGGCGTCGACTTTGCCCGGTCAAGAAACCTGCGACTTGTTATCCGCAATACCGGTCACGATTTCGAGGGTCGAAGCACAGGCGCGGGTTCCTTGGCCATCAACACCCACAACTTCAAGGATATCTCGTTCGTTGATAGGTACAGGGGACCGGGAGGTTATCAAGGACCTGCCGTTACCGTTGGCGCCGGTGTTCAAGGTTACGAAGTGTCTGAAGCCGCTCATGCAAGGAACCCACCGCTGAACGTTCTCACAGGAGAGTGCGAGGTATGACTCCGCGTGGCATAATGCCTAATGCTACTCTTGGCTGACAACCTCTTTAGACCGTTGGTGTTGCCGGCGGCTTCCTTGGAGGAGGTGGCCATGGCCCGTTGAGTGGTCAACATGGCTTCGGTGCAGATAATGCACTGTCCTTCGAGGTTCTCACCGCTTCCGGAGATTTTGTCACTGCCAACGCCAAAACGAACTCGGACCTATACTACGCTCTCAAGGGCGGTGGTCCTGGTAACTACGCTGTAGTCTTGTCTGTAACTTTAAAGACTCATCCTGACAGTATCCATGGTGCTGCAATGTACCTAAACGTCAACGCTACCACGGGGGCAAACTTCGATCAGGTTTTGAAAGCAGTTAGCAAGCTGCACGAGCTTGGTAACGATATGGTTGATAACGGCCTCTACGGTATCTATGAACTGTATCCTGCCGTCATTGGTGGAGCACTCCACATTCAACCTATCATGGGCATGAACAAGACAGCTCAGCAGCTTACTGCCATCATGCAACCATTCTTGTCATATCTCGATTCCGAGCAGATTCCTTATGACCACGGGGTCAAGGAGTATCCCAACTACTACACCCTCTTCCACGACATTTTCGAACCTGAGGCCGCTGCCCAAAACGGTCTGACTGGAGGTTGGGTCTTCACTCACGAAGACATGAGGACAAACCAAGCTGCCATCAACGATGCTATCAAGTTTGCCCTTGCCCCTGCAAGCGACAAGTTTGGCATTGTGATCAGCCACTTTTTTGACCCAGGATACAGCGTGAGGAAGTCGGAGAGCGCCACGCACCCTAGGTGGAGAGGTGCAACTATGCGGACCATGGCGATTTTGCCCCAGCCTTTGGACGCGACCTGGGCCCAGAAGCTGGAGCTCAACGACTTGATGGTCAACACCATCACGGAGAAATTCAAACAAGCCGCGCCGAATGGGTTGGCGTATGTCAATGAGGTACATGATCTCCCCGTCATAACTATCAATGCAATGCTAACCAAGACAGAACTACGCCTTCATGAAGAACTGGCAAGATGCGTTCTGGGGCCCGATATACCCTAGACTAGCAGCAATCAAGAAGAGGTGGGATCGAAACAGTGTCTTCTTCTCTTGGTCGACGCCAGGCAGTGAGGACTGGACTGTAATCGACTATGCGAATAGGCTGTGCAAGGAGAAATAATTGGGACGTTACAACATGAGGGGAATTGCATAAGATACCATTGCCGTCTATTTACGGCGCCGTAGACTATTAGATCTGGCGGTATTTATACTTTCTAAATGATTATCTTCATAATAGATTCTACTTTGCGTCTGATGTTTCATAGGGGAGACTAGCTACACTGTCAATATGTGCCCTACGCACAGCGGCGGGAAATACGAGTCGTTATGGCTAGATCACGCCACGAGACCAGCTCAAAATAAATCAGCTACACCACCCATGTGTGAGAATTTGCATTCCACATTTCCATCCTCTTTAACTATTTTATTCATTCCAAATGACCGCACTCAATCCATTTTCCTGGTTCACTGTTCCCGGGCTGCCGACTTTGATCGTCGCAATTAGCTGCCCAAGCCTGCCCGTGGTAACGTTTCGATCAACGATAGCCACATTCGCGCTTGTCTGCCCGCCGATAGCCACCATGTTTCCAGCCTTATTGATTGCAAAGGTGCGAGGGAAGAAAGAAAACGCGCTTGTGGACTCGATGAATCTGACGTCACCCGTTGACGGATCGATGGCATACGTTGTCAAAGAATCTTCTTGTGTTCCGAATGATCGGTCATTTCTGTTAGATACGTATACGAAATTCTCCTTGACGTGAATCTCAGCGGCCTTGGATCCCGAAGGAGCTGTTTTCCCAGGCGAAAAGGTTGAAACGGTTTGTTTCTTGACGAGTTTCAAGCATCCTGAGATAGGATACGTGACATCCCATGATGTTATCGAGTTTGAGAGCTCGTTAACTGTTACTAGCAGTGTATTGTTGTTCTGAGACCAAAATGTGCCGTGACGAGGGCCGTCACCTCGCCCTGACTGGGCCGAAGGGCATTCTTTCAGAATCCCCGTTGCATCAATGCTAAAGATGCGGATGAGATCGGCACCTAGATCTGCGGCAAGAAGATATCGCCCAGATGGATCGGGGAAGGCCGAATGCGGATGAGGCTTGTCCTGGCGAGAAGGAACAGGTCCGGGTTGCGACATTGTGAACGTCAACTTCTGAAGGGCCTGGCCTGTCCCCGTCAACGGCAGGGCATACGTGGAAATAATGGACGCATCACTGTAGATTACACATATGATGAGCTAAGGTGAATAAACAACGGCTTACACGGCAGTCGAGGAAACTTACTACTGTGCTAAAGCTATGTATCCTTTGCCGTTTTGTCCTCCATAGAGCGTGCTGTGCAGCTCGCCGCCGGCTGTTTGTACCTGACCTTTTGGAGTTACGGTGCCATCCGAAGCGACAGAGAAGCTTTTCAAAAGCGGTTGTCCCCATTGAACCTCGTCTGGAACATATAGTGTTTTGGTAGCAGAATCAAAGTCTAGCCATGCAGGCATGCGATTGCCAGAGCTGACAGACTTTGTGATTGTCAGTTGCTTGGCTGAGGACAAGTCGAGTGTGTAAATCTGGCCGCTGTAATGGGAGGCAATCAACATGACTGCGTACACGGGAGACAGGGCAGCCACCAGGGCTAATCGTAAAATCGGTTTCGCCATTCTGAGTAGTTCTGCATGCACTATGTCGTGGAGGATGCCCAGCACCAGGAAGCCACATTATCAGACGGGCCGGTTTAGTACATGTATTTGTGAATCTTTGACAACTCTTTGCATCACACCCAGCTCACCAGTTTTGCTTTTCTTCCACTCATTGATTGCTAGGGGTTAACTGATTAATCCAAAACACTCTGGTGGTGCTCGTTGAGCCACGAGACCATACTTGGAATTACCTTATGGTCCGCGTTTCCTGAAAGGGCTAAATCGCGGAACCAAGCAAGGGTGTCAGGCATGGGATACTTGTCACTGTATAAAGCCGGATCGCGGCTAATTGTAGGTCTCGGTAGAATGCGGATCTCGGCAATATTTAGCATGATAATTTCATGGACGGAGAAGGCCATTTGGACTAGATATTTTACTGGCTCCGAATTGGAGTACAGTCATGGCTTGTACTGAGAGTTATCGATATCGAAGCTTCGATCGTAGCCCTTCATCCGTGTCTGGCCGTTATGAATGCGCCAACCATTACGGCACAAGTCGATTAGCCTGTTGATGAGGGTAACGCCATTGCTAATGAATTGAAACGAAATTAATGAAGCCTTTAGGATTACATGTCTTGCATGGGCTGGTTTCCGCTCAAACTGACGACATTATTGATTACGTTTCTGACTAAATGCTCTATAGAGTGAGTGTAATATTATGATTCCCATAAAATCACTGTGTTGATATGCAGCACGTCTCTATCTCTATGCCCCAATCAAGTTCGCGGAAGTTCAACCGAAGCATCCTAACTCTTCAAAATGGCCCGATTTCCGTATGATGCCAACGGCGGTATGCCGCTATCATTTTCGGTCCCGTTGAAAAATCCTGGCTAGTGGCTCTCAGAGAATAGCTTGATTGAAAAATGCGTCCACAATCATGACCTTTTGCTCACTTATAACTTTCGAGAAACACCCCCGAGTTGTTCCAGCAAGCTTTGTGCGTCGACATGACTTCTTATAAGCTAACAACATGATTGGCATCGCCTTCATTGCGTTTCTCTCGGCAGCGCCAGCTGTACTTGCCTCACCACTGGACAAAAAGTCGACCATTGACGATTGCCTCGCTGCAGCTGGAGTCCCATACAACAAGAAGGGAAGCTCTCAGTGGGACGTCGACGGCTCTCCATTCAACATTAGAATACCGTTCACACCCATATCCATCGCTGTGCCCCTTACAACAGAACATATACAAGCAGCAGTAAAATGCGGTCGTGACAACGGTGTTAAGGTCACTCCGAAATGTGGCGGCCATAGCTATGCCAATTTTGGCTTTGGGGGTGAGGATGGTCACCTGATGTTGGAGCTCGACCATATGTATAACGTTACCCTCAACAATGCAACTGGAATTGCAACTGTACAGGCCGGAGCTCGATTAGGGCATGTTGCAAGTGAACTTTACAAGCAAGGTTCAAAAGCAATTAGTCATGGGACCTGTCCTGGGTGAGTTGCGAGTAACCCATAAGATTGCGATGGTCACTGACGTCAACAAAGCGTGGGAAGTGCGGGTCATGTCCTTCATGGAGGTTACGGTATGAGCTCTCACACCAAAGGACTGGCCCTTGACTGGCTTATTGGCGCCAAAGTTGTCCTCGCAAATAGCACTGTTGTTACCGCATCGGAGGTCGAGAACCCCAGTCTGTTCTGGGCGCTGAAGGGAGCTGGTAGCTCCCTCGGTGTGGTTACCGAGTTTTATTTCAAGACCTTTGACGCGCCAAAACAAGCTACTAATTTTCTAGCCATGTTGCAATGGGACGCAAAGAAGTCTGTTGACTACTTCAAAGTGCTACAAGACTGGGCTGAAAATGAGATGCCAAGGGAGCTGAATATGCGTCTCTTCATCACTCCACGATTTACCAATCTTGAAGGCATGTTTTATGGGGATAAGCCAGGGTTGCAAGCGGTTCTGGACCCGTTGCTTTCGAAGCTAGGAGGACGATTGGCGACCTCGCAGACGACCGACTGGCTTACCAACTTGCAACACTTTGGCAATGGTTTGGCACTTGACCAAAAGGACACTTACAAAAAGGTGAGCCCTCCTCAACGCTGATGATCAGAGGTACGTCACTGACGTTGTTGTAGCAAGAGAACTTTCACTCCTCAAGTCTGTACACAGACAAGCTCTCCACTGCACAAATCCAATCCTTCGTCAGTTACTGGTATAGCATAGGCAAACCTCTCAAGCGTGATTGGTACGTGCAAATCGATTTTCATGGTGGCAAGAACTCGGCCATTACTGAGGTTCCAACCAACTCTTCTTCCTACGCCCACCGCAACAAGCTGCTGCTCTACCAGTTCTACGATCGAGTCGATCTGTCTGCTATTTACCCCAAGGATGGATTTCAATTTCTTGAAAACTTCATTTCAAATACCACTATTGATATGGAGGCAGAGGAGCATGGTATGTATTTCAACTATCCCGATCCAAACATGGATCAGGACAAAGCACAGATGAGGTACTGGGGAGACAATCTTGCGCGATTGAGGGAGGTCAAAGCGGCTGTAGATCCCACTGAAGTGTTCTACTTCCCTCAGAGTGTTCGGCCAGCGATCATCGTCTAACTATAAACCCAGCTCGCTGTGAAGATTATTTGGCAATGCATTCATTCTTTAGTTAGAAATAGCAACAGTCCCGCTTCACAACATCACAACTGAGCAATTTTGCATATCTATCAATTGAATCCATAGAGGGGATGACACGAAATTAATGCCTAGAATGGCAGTGTTCGTCCGATACTCCCCTTTCAACAACATCCATCGCAGCCAAAAAAAGATGGTCACTGACTCGGCGCCGTCTATATGTGGCCAGATCTAAAGCTACGGCAGTCCGCAGGGCGCACTGGGTCAAAATTCAATAATTTCCGCATCGGGTCAATAGGTCTACACCTAAGGGGAGGATTTTTAAAAGGCTCTGATTGGCTGAGAATTACAGGCACTTGCGCGAGTCAAGAGCGAAAAGGGTAAATGCGGGCAGTGTAATTATATATGGGGTAGTTGAGGTAGTTAAGGCAATTAGGGCAGTTGGGGCAGTTAGGGCAGTTAGGGCAGTCAGGGCAGTTAGGGCAGTTAGGGCAGTTAGGGCAGTTAGGGCAGTTAGGGCAGTTAGGGCAGTTAGGGCAGTTAGGGCAGTTAGGGCAGTTAGGGCAGTTAGGGCAGTTAGGGCAGTTAGGGCAGTTAGGGCAGTCAGGGCAGTTAGGGAAGTTAGGGCAGTTAGGGCAGTTGGGGCAGTTAGGGCAGTTAGGGCAGTTAGGGCAGTTAGGGCAGTTAGGGCAGTTAGGGCAGTTAGGGCAGTTAGGGCAGTTAGGGCAGTTAGGGCAGTTAGGGCAGTTAGGGCAGTTAGGGCAGTTAGGGCAGTTAGGGCAGTTAGGGCAGTTAGGGAAGTTAGGGCAGTTAGGGCAGTTAGGGCAGTTAGGGCAGTTAGGGCAGTTAGGGCAGTTAGGGCAGTTAGGGCAGTTAGGGCAGTTAGGGCAGTTAGGGCAGTTAGGGCAGTCAGGGCAGTTAGGGCAGTCAGGGCAGTTAGGGCAGTCAGGGCAGTTAGGTATTAGGGTTAAGGGGGGAGGCGCTATAGCTATAGCGAGGTAAGTATTATAGAACACTATAATTATAAGTAGGGGATTACTACGGGTATAAGCCGGGAGTCAAACTTTAGCAGGGTTCTAGGGTTGACTTTTTATGGGTATACAGGCACGGGCTCCATACTTACCTAAAATTTCTAGCCACTCATATCTTATCGATAACACACCTTAGTGGAGACATTAGCCATATTAGGCAAGTTCTACCCCTCATACCGTATACCTACTAATTTATTGAATTTTGACCCAGTGGTCCCTGCGGACTGCCGTATAAAGCCCGCAACCAGTCAAGCTTCTCATTGGGATCACCGACAAGGTTACTTGCCTGTATTACTGCGAAAGACGAACATGCGTCCGTGAGCACCCTTTAGGGCTGCAATGGGAGTCAGTCAGCAAGTGAACGACGGTCATCCCAACCATACCCACATAAGAGATCCCCCCCCCAAAGTCGTATGTCGCTTCAATGCTACCCACGTGCCAGTTCGATGACCATAACGGGGTCGAACCCCCACTGACAAGACAATAACATTGGAAGGGAACCCCAGTTCAATACTTCTCAGCTGCCTGATTGGGATAGCGATCTCGGCATTTCCAGTCCCTTTTTCAGGGTCAGTTCATGCAGTCGGTATAAATACGAACGGTTCGCATCGACATGGTCTTCATAAAGATGGCTATCTTCCACATTGCCTAACTCGGTCACTCTTTTCATACTCAAAAATGCAGTTCAAAACTCTTCTGGCACCTCTTCTCCTCGCCGAGGCGGTCCTTGCGCAGGGCCTACCCGTTCGCGTCGTCACGTTTAACATTCGTTATGATGCAAGTTCGCGTGAGTCTGGAGAGAAGCCGTGGTGGGATCTATTCTGCTCCATCTCCAAGGACCGCTGCCGCCAACCGCATGTGGTCGACACCATCAAGAAGACCGCTTCTACAGCGCCAAAGGATGCCGTTACTATCATTGGTCTCCAGGAAGTCCTCAACAACCAGGTAGTGGACATAGCCAATGGCCTCGGCGCCGGCTGGGCTCAAATCGGTACAGGACGTGACGACGGGAAGACCAAAGGAGAATACAACCCGATTTTCTACCAAACGGACTTGTTGAAACTAGTGCATTGGGAGGTGAAGTGGCTCTCACCAACGCCGGATCAAGTCTCTACCGGCTGGGGAGCTGGCAGCAAGCGTATCGTCACCATCGCCGTCTTTGAACACATCGCTACGGGAAAGAAGTTCATTCATGCCAACACCCACCTCGACAATGTTAGCTCGCAGGCTCGCTCAGAGGGCATCAAGGTTGTTGTGACCAAGATTCAGGCTGTGCAGGCAACCTACGGGCCTCTGGGTGTTTCTTTGACTGGTGACTTCAACTCGGACCCTAACGGCGATGCTTACAAAACCCTTTCCGGAACAGGGTTCGTGGAGGAGCTGTACAACATGGCGACACCTGAGCAACGAATCGGACCTAACCAGCTGACGTACACAACGTTTGACACCAGCAAGCAAGGAAGCCGCATCGATTTTATTTGGCTTGGGCCTACGGCTGCGAAGAAGTACTCGGTTCAGCGCTACGAGATCTGGACCAACAACGTCAATGGAATGCTCATCAGCGACCACAGACCTGTTGTCGGCGATGTCACTCTCCTATCTTAGGCATTTTCTTGTATATGAGTTATGGGCTGTAAAGTATCGAGCGTTCCGTTAATTGTTAAAGAAACCGAATTTGCATCCAAACACTAGCCCGTCATTTTCCTGAAAGTTCCAGTGACAAAAATAACCCCCAAAGCGACCCAGCCACGCCCAATGTACCATTTATGATGACATGTTCGTTTTCGGCTGATAAATCATAATAAAATGCCATGGGGACGCGAACTTAACATAGGTATGATGGCATCAGGGGTTCATTTACCTGTCACCTAATCGCGAAGGCATTCCAACAATGAACAGCTACTAAGGCAATTTTTAGTTGGTCTGGCCCGGCTTGGCTCTCAACAAGAAACACTAGACAGGATGCAGACACAAGATTTTGGCTTAATAACTGCCAGAATTTAAACTGAAAACAATCAGCCTTATGACAATGCTTGGCACAACCTCCGAACCTTGATCTGGTTTTTGAAACTGCTAGATCCCAGCTATATTAACAAGGTTCATTATAGCTCAGTGGCCTTTCACCCACTGCTCACCATCAGAAAGCCGACTTGTCGAGAGCTTATTGCCATGACAGACAAAAATAAAAGATTAATCAGCTGAGTTTTTATTTAATCATCTCACAGTACCTTCAGCGACTTACAGGATGAACAAATATCTGTAGGAGTCTTAACGTTACTTAGCTCCGACAGCCGCGTATTGGTGGACGGCAACCTCCTTAGTGGCTCCACCGGGTTCATGCCTCCAGGACACTGAAGGGATTTAATGCAGACAGGGCTGGTTTCCGCTAACAGCACCAACGAGTTATTTTGGCATTATAGATCCTTGAATATTGAATTCTGAGATGCGAGATTTGAATAACACCGTATTGCAGCGGTCAAAGTGAGCTTCTCTTTTCCCCCTTTTTTACTTCTACTCTAAACTCTCGTCATGCTCTCCCCATCTGCCCGGTTGTGAACCGTATGCTTGCTGAAGCTCGAAAGTCTAGATGAATCGTTTTTCCTGGGCTACTGGCTGTTTAGTCATTGATGACCTAATACCCGTAAAGAATGGCTCCCAATAGGTTCACGGGTACCCGTGCGTGTAAAATTTCACGGGTACCCGTGGAAATGACTAAGCAACTCTGATATGGGGCTCATGAGCCAATGAGAGGCACGGCCTGCATCAAACTTATCCGGAAAGTTTACGACTTTACTACGATGCACTCTTCGGGCTTACTACCAGCGTATAACGCCTCCTGCTCTGCCTTATCTTGCTCGACTCGTTTCCAGACTTCGCTCATACCTCTCTCACTGTTTTTAAAGGGGTTTTGTCCATCTTCCGCAATAATCAGCTCATCGACCCGTTTGTGTTCAGCCCTATCCCAGTCCAGATAAGCCATCATCTCCTCCTTCGTCCAATCCCTTGACCCGTGTGAGGTAGTGCAGCGTCCTTTCATCTGCTTATAGTCAAGACACCACTCATAACACTTTTTGTCATAACGTAGCGGAAGTCCCATTGCCCTTCGATACTCCTGGTTTGTTTTGACACTCCCACGAGGTTGAGCACCGTACCAGGCGCTTCTTGCTGCACAGTACCGTCCGTATATCGCCTAAGGTGAATCGTATCCTGGCAGCGAAGGTGAATGCGAATGCGCAAATGGTGATAATACCCGAGGTAGTAATATACTAGTCTCTACTACTATAGCAATAGTCGGTTGAACTAACTCTGGTACGTCCTGCACGGCGTTTGAAGGAGGTTCTTGTGTATCTGTCGTCGTCCCGGTAAATATCGCAGTTGATACTATAGCTGGATCTGGAGTAGGTGTCGGTTCAGGCAATAAATGCGTGTATCGCAGAGGGCACGCCTTTGAAGTCATAGTATGGCCAACTGTATGACACCTACTGCATTTGCTTGGGGCCCGTGAAGCAACTTCAACAACTTCGAACCCGCTAGGCTCTCGTCTAGTGCTTGATTTAGGAATACTGGGATTCTCTAATTGCAACCTGGGCTCTATGCGCTGGCGAGGCTCCAGCAATAGCTGCGGCGCTCCATCACGCCTCAAATGCCAATATGCATGGAAGTGCTCACGTAGAAGAACAAGATTCTGTTCTTGTAAAGTCTTCAATTTGTGTAAGCATGGGAGACCATATACTCGAGAAAACGTCCCCGTACAGGCTGTAGAAGGATTTATGTCTTTCTTCGTGAGCAGCTTCCGTTGCTCTTCTACTTTGCGCAAGGCTTCATGCGATACCCAGCCAAGCACTGCGCCGTACATTGACCCTGAAAGCTCAACTAGTATCCGTATTTGCTATTTAACTTGATTTGACTTTAGATCCGATAGCTGATTTAGTAAAGCATGCTTCATTGCTCGCCAAGCTTCAAAAAGGTCTAATGTGGATCGTTTCAAGTGCGATTTAAGTAGTGCATGAATACCCTCAACTCGCGAAGTAGCCACATTGCCAAAATGGGTATACTAATCGACCCAGGCTTTCACTAGCTTCTCCTTGTATGGTTTCAACCAAACGGACGTAATATAGCCGACTTCTTCGAGATAGTCCAGAAGATAGCGTTCCTCAAACTAGGAAACGCGCTCCTCAAAAACCACCTCAGATAGCGAGCTGATAATCGAATGCCAGGAGTTATAGAATTCTTCCTAGCTCTGAGTTGAAGGTTTGAGCGCTGCAGGATTGTTGACTGTCTTTGGCTTAGTAGAGTCAAAAGCTGGATTACAATGTTGAAGAACGGCCTTGTTCGCATGCCAGAGGCAAAGCAAAGATGCAGAAGAGGGGAAGATGGTTGCAACAGCGTTAATGCATGCTAAGCAGCGATCTGTGAGGATAACCGCAGGTAGGCTAGCGTTGCACTGACTATACAAGGATTTGACCCGCTCCAAAGCCCAGGTATAGTCATCTTCTGCCTCGCCGCTAAGAAATGCAAACGCAATACAGAACGACCGTTAGCAAGCATCGACGCCAACTATATCAAGAAGTAGCATACCATACTTATTAGTCTTATAGGTACAGTCTAGTAACATGATGTCTGGGTAGGCTTGGAGAAGGGCTAAGGAATCTAGATAAGCGAACAAGACAGCCGTAACTCGGCCATCTGGTGCAAACTGCATGCGACTCTAGAAGCCTTCCTCATCAAGTTGATTAGCAAGTGCATAGATCGAGGTCTGCCCTTCACGAACATCTCGTTTAGCGGCTGCAATATGATTATAGATATCCTGCTAGGTCGCTATAGAGTCTGTCGTTTGTCGTATGTATGTTCTGATGTCCCTGGGTGCGACGCCAGCGTTTGAAAGACCGGCCACCTTGGCTTAATCCTCCTCAGATAGCTTGCGATGCGTTGGGTGAGCAGACGGATGTTGGCTTGGGGGATGATTATGAGAAGAAAAACGCTTATCAGGCCGGTGTCTCAAGCTCCATGTGCTCTTATCCAAAGATTCCTTAGCAAGGACGGAAAATTGACAACCAGTCCCCCTACTAGTAGTTTGCCTTTGCCGCGCTATTAATATGCTTGGCGGATGACACGACCTATCGCATGAATATGTAATCGTCTGTCGTCCGCTTTTCTCCTTTGTTGATCTCCCGGTAGTGAATGCGTATCCCTTTGTCGCCGCCCAGTTGTTGATTGACATAAAAAGCTTATCGCGAGATTTATGATCGCTTTCAGGGGGGAGACTGTCGTCTGGGAATGTGAGTATTGAGTCTTTGAGAGCTATTTCCATTTTTAAGAATATATGACTGAAGTGCTGGATGCAAATAACGCGTGAAAGGTGTATGACACAAGACGCGTTCATTGACGTGGGCAGGTTGCTTAGTCATTTCCACGGGTACCCGTGAAATTTTACACGCACGGGTAGCCGTGAACCTATTGGGAGCCGTAAAGAATACATCAATTACCTAACTTGAGTTGGCGGCAAATGCCGCATCAGCAGATGTGACGATGCAATTCTTCGTGATGAACACGTGCCCAAAACACAAATCTGTTTATGAGAAGCTGTGACTGAGTTCCCACGCAGCTCTCTGACAGCTTTGACTGGCCCGTCGCCAATTGTTCACTTTCTGACGATCAAGCCAGATGGGGCCACCCTCGAGGATTCGCCAACCCATTATTACAAAGTAAGTAGATGCAACGCCTTACTGGGTCGCTGCGTTATGGCGATCAATCAACCTTGTCTATGTCAGTTGTTCCACCTGTAAAGACTTTTTGGACTACAGAAGAATTGAGCCTAATGACAATCAGTCATTTATGGTTTTCTCAATTTGAAGTTAAGCCGAACCCCCACATCTGGATCAAGTTGTATAGGTACGGTAACAGAAGTCACTTAGTACGAAATCTCCATGTCACGGTCAGTTCGACGACAGGCATATTTACATTTTTCCAGTCCCGTGCTCCTAGATCTCAAGCAAACCATAGAATATTGAATCACTCCACAAACGATTGTAGGGTTGACTTGGACCGTGGCCTAGCAACTTGAGTAAGTCAAGTTTAATTCCTTCTGCCAGTGTCTCATTGGTTCACACGCCCCTTGTCTACACTATTCCCTTTTATTTCAAGGTTGCGTTGAGTCACTGGCAAAGACAGTCCAGTTTTGACCATAATTCTCTTACTAAATAATCCCACGGTGAGCCTATTGAGGCATAGTGCTGACAGAAGACCCAGTCAAGTGCAGCAGCGGATAAAAAGAATAGGCGATGCTGCTGCTGACGCTGTGCATTTCATGTGTATAAGAGCCCAGCTTCGGCCCGTCTCTTGGCAGTGTTGGATTTCAATCAGAGGCTCAAGGGTAAATCCATCGATCTAGGACAACTCGTTACAATTCTAATCAGTATATACATTAACGCCTCCATGTTCACCTTTCGACCTTGGATCCTTCCTTGGATTGCCTTGTCCACGATGGCATCCAAAATCGCCAACGACTCATTGCCTCTCCCGAGTCAATTGGTTGCTCAAGTCCCCGGTGCCTGGTTCGAGAATCTGGCTGTTCGCTCCAATGGCAACATCTTAATCACATCATGCTATCAGCCGAATGCGTCTGTTTATGAACTTTCAAATCCCAGAGCAGAATCTGCATCGCTCCAACTACGTTTCACCATCCAGACTGTCAACGGGCTTTTAGGCATCACCGAAACATTTCCCGATGTTTTCGCGTTCGTCGGCAGCAACATTAGCTTCACAGCTGGCGGCGAGAGGGGTGCCGCAGCCCTCTGGACTATCAATTTTAACGAGGAACTCTCACCGAGCCCAAGGTTGATCGCCCATCTCCCCGATGCCATCTTACTAAATGGTGCAACAAGCGTTCCTCAGAATCCTCAAATCGTTCTTGTAGCCGACTCTATACGAGGCCTAGTCTGGCGTGTCGACATCACCAGTGGGGCTGTCAGCATCGGTGCTGAGGTCCCTGAAATGGGCGCTGATCAATCCAAGGGGCCAGTCACAGCCATTAACGGGCTCAAGATCCACGATGGTTACCTGTGGTGGAGCAGCCTCGTCGAGAAAGCGTTGTACAGAATTAAGATCACAGATGAAGGCAGGGCTGTTTGCGGTGCTTCAGCTGAGAAAATGGCATCCCTTCCAGCCTCGGCGGCTGACGATTTAACCTTTGGCCCGAATGGAGAATCCATCGCCTGGGTTGCTACCAATCGGGGCAACAAGATTGTCGCAGTTAATCCAGACGGAGAGATCGTAACGGTTTCTGAATCTGCGGATATTGCCGCGGCCTCAGCTTTGCAGTTTGGCCGGACCAAACTTGACGAGAAGATATTGTACACGACCACCGCCGCTGGGAATATCGTGGCTATTGATACATCAAGCTTATTTGAAGAGGCTGTATAGTTCATGGCTAGTGGTGGTTGAGATCTATAAGCAAATAATGTACTGCATTGTTGCTGACGGTATGGCGTATAATCAACGATGCAGGAGTCTTGCCTCTAGTACCTAGTAACTAGTGGTTCCTGCGACATAGCTGAACCAAATGGGGCATTGCCATTTTGAAGGGAGGGATCTGGAACTTCACCACCTAATACAATGCTAGGTTGCTTGCCGTATTTTGCATGGTACTCATTGAACTAAGTCAGTCGCAATCGAGGCAGCACATGCACATCAGTTTACAGTAAATAGTTCTTGCAGCCCGTATATTCGTAGAGCTGCGTTTTATGCCAGTTTTACCAAAAATAAAAGAGCTTTTTCCATGTCTCATTCGGTTAATGAACATCCATCACTTATGATGAAGCACTTTGGAATCTTGAACACAAGCTTATCAGGATCTGTGTTATCTGATCAACCATGTCAACGGTGCGCCCAAAGTTGATGCATGACTCCAGATTTCAGTGGCTAGACCGGTGTAGCAAGGATCGTCATGCTAGTGCCACCAGAACTGGAGAAAAAGATTGCCGCGATTCAAGTATTGCATTCATGTGGACCATGAATGCCTGGATACGCTAGTCCGGTTGCCGACTACTCTTAGGAGCACTGATTGTTTTTATGTTGCTGTAATAATCGGGAAGCTTTTCGATGTAAAGTGGTCGGCCCAGGCTATGCGTTGCATCCCGATACTGAGCCTGCATGAGGAGGTATGTGGGTTAAGATGTATGGAACTGTCGATCAGTACATCGACACACACAGCAAGTTTGCATCAATGTGCGTTGAGTGATGACAATTATGGCGTTCATCAGGCTTACTGGGGTTAACACTAAGACATGCCTAGACATGTATTTATCTACTGGTAACTATCGCAGCTGTTTGCAACCTCGGATTGACTATGCTCTCCAACATCGCCTACAAAAGCTACGATACCGTGGAACTGGATCAAAGCCTCGACAACATGCCCATCTCGAAAATGATAAGCTCGCGTGCCCTATTGCCCAACAAAGGTAGCTCACCCCCGACGTCCGCAGCCACTACATAGTATGTCGGCGTCCTCCTATCGTTATCTATCTCCTACCTCTACTTTACCACGGCGCGTTGCGCAAGCAGGCGAGATGCAGCTGCCAGTGATACCAGGCCAACACTCCAGGTTTGTAGCTCCAGCTGGGACACACACCGACAGGGTGTCTCATTTGGCGGAGCGGAGATTAGCCAGGCCTGTTGTTCACCTTCCACCTTCGGCCTAGGACCCCAATGTTATCGGAGTAGACTTTGGAGGTACAACCTGGGGGACGAATGCTGAATGGATTAACGTTTATTTGTTCTCCTCCGCTGTACCCCACTGCCGATCAAGGATCCTTGCTTGGTAGGTAACCACCAACGGGGTGAAAAGTTCAAGACACTCAAGTCAAAAGGCTTGGAGACGCCAGACCGGAGCTTGCATGAAAAGAGAAGGACGTAAGAAAATTTCAGAAGCACAGGGGAAAATTCTGCCAGCTGGACCTGGCCCAGCATCACGCGGGACGTTAGATCAACATCACCCTGGCCGGCCATGCTTTGTGTTACGGAATGTGGACAGTGAGGATGTGCAGTCTGAGCGTATCGGTAGGGTAAACTGTGGGCATTAGAGTTACGTTGCTCCGCATTGTTCACCTGGTGAATCAGGGTGTTGTTCTCCATTTACAGAGTGCCACATGAGAAAAATGAGATCTTTCACGTTGTTCAACTCATGAAGCCACACCTCATGAGTTTCATATTGTACAACTAACCAAGACTTTTTTTTACCACTCTCCCCAATAAGACAGTCTTCGGTCACCTTTCAGGAACTGTCCAACGAGTCTAGCAGAGACCGTGACGATTCGTAGACCTCGGATTGGTCACGACTCGCCACACCCATGAGCTCACACCAACATCTACTAAAGTCCCCCCGGTTCCCTCCCCGTCCCTCCCCCAACGTCAAAAGAGGCAAAAGAACCGCTGATAAGCCAATCATCTGGATAAGCACCACACGTGTATCGCACCCCTCATCCACCCGCGATGCTTGGCAAATACAACTTCGTCACCAAAGAAGCTGATTTCCCGGCATCGGCCATCCTGCCAAAGTCTTGGCCCGCTACCTCTAGTAATCGATGCTGGGTCCATCCAGCCACTCATGTTTCTTCAGAATGGCAGCTTGCCTGCAGGACTCGTGGAGCTAGAGGTCTAGTTGCCCGTACCACCGTTGCAATCCGCCCACCACGGAGTGCAGGGATCGACAGGTCTTGAAGGACTAGACTGCAGCGAGAAATTTGTATATATTGTCCGAGGAAAGTTTTCGGTCTACTCTACGATAGCTTCTGTGCGATCTCAGCGTGCTGAAGTTTTCCCCTTCTCCTCTCCGGTCCTTTGCTTGGCGCATCCTCAACTGTGGCAAACGTGAAGCCTTGATTGACTTCTCGCACCCGCCCGGACATCAGTCAAAGCTTAATTGACACTTGGTCTCTTCGTCATTTTTCTCTACAGCGATCTTCCGGTTCTCATCTCAAGATGCGTCAATCCATCACCTCGCTGGCTCTGGCTCTCGCCGGGACCGCTCTTGCGGTCCCGGAGAAGCTGGACGGCGACCACCTGTACTCCTCGCGTCTCTCCAAGCGTGGTATTGATGCGCAGGGTAACTTCAACATGTCCTTCTTCCACGTCAACGATGTTCACGCTCATCTTGACGAGTACTCCTCCTCCGGCACCGACTGTACTCGCCCGGAGCGTGGTTGCTACGGTGGCTACGCCCGCATCAAGCACACCATTGATGAGCTCCGCCCTCAGTACAACGACTCGCTGTGGCTCAATGCCGGCGATGAGTTCCAGGGCACGCTCTTCTACTCCTTCTACAAGGGCGAGAAGATCGCCGAAACGATCAACCAGCTCGGCTTTGATGCCATGACCCTCGGAAACCACGAGTTCGACGGCGGCGACGACGAGCTCGGCGACTTCTTGCAGAACCTCACGTTCCCCATTGTCTCGGCAAACATTGTCTCTGACAACGCGAAGCTCAACAAGACCATCAAGCCCTATCACATCTTCGAGAAGCAACAGCTTGCCGTCATTGGTGTCACCACCACCACCACCCCCGGCATTTCCTCCCCTGGTGAGGGTACCAAGTTCCTGGATGTTGTCACCTCGGTGCAGTCCACTATCAACCACATCAAGTCTACCACCAACATCACCCGCATTGCTGCGCTTACCCACATCGGATATGAGGAGGACCAGAAGCTTGCCGAGCAGACCACTGGCCTTTACCTCATCATGGGTGGTCACTCTCACACTCTTCTCGGCTCTATGGAGGACGCCGAGGGCCCGTACCCTACCATTAAGAAGAACAAGGATGGCGACGACGTCTTCATCGTCACTGCTTACCGCTGGGGCGAGTACGTCGGATACATTGATGTCACTTACGATAAGGAGGGCAAGATCCTCGCTTACCACGGCGGCCCGATCCACCTCACCAACACCACCAAGCAGGACCCCGAGCTGCAGGCGCAGATTGAGTCGTGGCGCGGTCCCTTTGAGGCTTTTGCCGCCGAGGTCGTCGGTGTGACCAACGTCGAGCTCGACCAGACCCGCTGCCAACGGGAGGAGTGCCTCCTCGGCAACGTCATGGCGGACGCCATGTACGAGTACCGCCTCAACAACTCCGAGTCCGCTAAGCCCGACTTCGCCCTCATCAACGCTGGCGGTATCCGCGCGACCATCGACGAGGGTAACATCACCCGCGGCGAGGTTCTCACTTCTTTCCCCTTCGGCAACTCCATTGTTGAGATCGCCTACAAGGGCTCTGACCTGCGCAAGGTGCTCGAGGGCGCCGTAACCAAGGTCAACCAGTTCAACAACCAGCCCATCACCTCCTTCTTCCAGGTCTCCAAGAACATCGTCATCGAGTACAACCCCTCCGGCAACAACGGCTCCAAGCTTGTGTCCGTTGAGGTCGGTGGCGAGGCCCTGAGCGACGACAAGGACTACCGCGTTGTCACTCTCGACTTCCTTGCCGGCGGCGGTGACAACATCTTCGTTGCTACCACTGACTTCGTCTCTCTCGACACCCAAGATGAGGTCCTCGTTCAGTACGTCCAGGCCAAGAGCCCTATTGATGCCAAGGTCGAGGGCCGCATTGTCCAGAGCAACGGCACCTCTGCCTCCCCTTCCGGAACTACTACCGGTACCGCTGCTCCCGGAGCTACCCAGACTGGCCAGAGCGGCGCTAGCATGGTCTCCGTCAGCATTGGCGCGCTGGCCGTGTGCCTGTTTGCCCTCGTGATGTAAGAAGGGGTAGATGACAAGAGTAATGTTTCCATGATATGGATGATGTAAATATAGGTTAATGTAAATAAAAGTGCCATAGTCTAGTGTTGCGAACGAGCTTCTGTAGCCATAGCTACATAAAGGCTGCTTGTATGAACTACTTCAACTTTGCCCTTCTGTCTCCTTTTGCTGAAACTATTGCAAAGCAATATCTACTCATTTTTCTCGTTGATGCTTATCACATTCCCAGTTTTCCGAGGTCAAGCCAATGAACTCGATCGTTAAGTTTGGACTATTTGTTGTACTAATGTGTTTGTGGATGGCTGCTGGGTAGTGAATGGAATGTAATCCCCGGTCCCAACGCAGTTTTATGTCGTTGATCATTAAAGTAAACAAATAGATATAATTGGTTACAAAAACCTAGTTATGGTATAAGATCACAAGTTGCTCTTTGAATATCTAGACGTTTCTTGATTTACTTGACGCACACTGTAAGGCTGAGACGGCAGTGACAGCGTGACGCTTCTGCAAAGGCCTACATGACTTCAGCAGCATCAGTAAGAGCAAGTTCAAGATAGAGTTAGGAAAAGGCTACAATATGTCTTTAGCTTTTTGGAAGCACGCCTTGGTATCAGGTTACTGAACTGGTCACCGAACGACAGCTACTTTCAATGCAATTGCTAACAAGGCTTGTTCCTAAGAAGTTGAGTTACTTCTGTAACAGCTTTCAGTCCGATTTAGCTATCAGCATTTGTATCGAAAGTAATTTGCATGGGCCGAATCCGTAGTCTTAAGCGTCAAGGCCTTGGTCTCTTACTAGAGAAGTCGGCCTTCACTGTAGGGCTTCATGCCACATTAATTCGCAGATTGGGTTTTTTGCGGATCGGGATTTCTATGTAGACTCAAATGTTCCATATCACGGGTGTCAATGACTTCGGGTTGCTGATGTATCTGTATCCTGGAACGCCTGGCGGAATTACGGTAGCCTAGAATTCTGGAGTTTGAATACAACATTCCAGAGTTCTTCTATAACAGCATCGAGGTCGCAAAATTAACCAACATGTCCGTAGGTAATATGACGGTTAATGATTAAAACTCTTTAAGTTGTGTAAGGTATCTAGCTACCGTTCAACTCCAGCAAATATGTCAACGACACAATCCTGACTACCCCAGGATGCTAACCAACCCTTATTTACCATTACCTGAACGCCACGTTGGTCTGAACCAAGTCAGTCCCTATTCATCGACGCGTTATAGACATTATAGACATGAACATTAAATTCCGTCGCTCCATCCTTTTTTTTCTTCCTCCTCTTCTTCGTCTTCTTCAGATCCGGACGGGCTTGATCTTGGCCAACTCCGTAGGTAGACTTGAATGCTTCACCTCACTTTCTCCGTTCCATCCACGGAACATGGGATGAGATAGCAAAGGTGGTGTTTTTAATCTTATAGTTGGTGGACGAACCGGTCCGGAATCTTCTTCAACGGGCAACGTCACCCTCCTTGTTGGGTATTTCTTGTGCAGGATCTGCCAGGTCCTCTCCACTCGTGCTTCGTGCTCGGTCCAGTCGCCACGGAGCGACATTAATAAACCCTCTCCCTCCTCTTCATCGGTATTTGCCCTGGAGAAACTCCGCCCGTGCCAAGTCCTCGACCGTGTGCGGGCTGGCGGCGAAACAGGCGTGACGGTTACATCCACCCGGGTCTGCAACGACTTGCGAATCATAATGCTTCGCTGTAGTTCTTGCTCAAGCATGATTCGTGATTGACTAAGCTTGGTCCGGCGAGAATACTCTTCCCATGTGAGGCTCGGGTTGCGAAGGCATTCGGCCTTGTATTCCTGGGCAAGCTGCCTTTTCCGACGGGTGACGACAAAGAAAATAGAAATAGAGGCGACGACGAAAATGAGACAGCCGAGTACAGTGGACACGATAACCAACGTCTGGTGATTGTGGGAGGTGATGATGGATCCGGAAAAGTCGGCGGCCATAGGGTCTGTACCGACCTTCGCGTCGGTCCTCGGTATGTGTGGGATAATCATCCTTCTCCAAACGACGGGTGCGAGTGATATACAGCGAGTGACGAAATACTTGAACAAACTATAACGAGTGTAGTGTAGCCATGGAAGCCAACAGAAGGATGACTCAGTTGGACATGAGCGAATGTCGATTATCTGGTTGAGAATTCTTGACCGCTGTAATAGAATGGTGACCTCCTCTGGGGAGAATCAGGTTCTTGTATGTGGGCAACGCAAAAAGGCGGTATTCTATTTTAAAAAACGCATGCAGTCCCCAGCTTACAGTCTGCAGTACCCACGTATTTTAGCTCTTTACTGCGCAGGAACGCGGCACTCGGTGTATCATCCCATGCCCTGCAGGTGATTTTTCTTTCCGCATGCCATTCTGCTATCCTTGGCGTGGGAGAGACCCAACCCCGTCTAAGAACCACAAGGGGCGCGTGAGGTCCCCTAGAGAGGAAGGCCAAAATCGAATACGGGGCTTGACAGGCTGAAGCGAGAGCGTCTAAGACGGCAAACATGGGCCGTAAGTGGCAGAATAAGCATGCCCTCACGGAGTGGGATCTTGAGATGGGGTGGGATGGGTGGCAGGAAGAAGAATGGCCAGTTGTCTCTGTGGTGACTTGGGTTGTCGTCCGTCCACAATATCAGGTAACAACCAACCAGGTGAGGCAGAGCCAGTGGCATCACACAACAACACCCACTGTGGGATGGGCCAAGACAGGGCAAAGCAAAGTCATTAGGGGAAAAAAGATGAATGGCTTTAGGGCTGCCAGGGGTTCTGGATTGGCCAGTTTGCGCTATAATTGGCCCGGGGCTGGCCTTGTCGGGGCTCCAACACGAGGTCTGGCACAGTAGCGCCGCATTGGCGGAACGGGGCCTAAAAGCAAATCCCGGACAAAGATGCTGGGGGGAACCAGGGCAAATCTTTCACGAACTGCCTGGCCCGGCCTATCAGATCAGTTGGTTTTCCCGGCGTGGCATAACCTTGCGACCCTAAGATCGGATGTTTTCTGTGGTGTCATTGGTGTTCAAGAAGTCGTAGACAAGCAATGCGCTGGCCACGGAACCACATCACAACATGGGCGCAGATTTTCTCTTTTCTGAAGCCGCCGAGTTCATCGGCCACCGTTGGGTTGCAAGTCTGGGTCGATTTACTCCCGATATGTCTCTCCTGGTTGAGTACTATCTTCTCCTTGGAGTAGGATGTTTTAGAATAAGGCGTCGTCGTCATACATGTGCTGGAACAAGGAGGATTCAAAGCGACTGGCCAGCACAGTTTGCCATAGAGAACGACTGGCAGGATTCTTCCCATACTCATACCCATTTCCATATCCTTTATTTTGGAGCTCCAAAACTTTCGAGAAATTATCACATTCGGGCTCAAGCAAGCAAACCATCTTAGGCCTGTAGCTCTAGGGGGCTGAAGAGTGAAAAGTTTTAACCGGGCATCCTTGTCAGGACGATCCTTTCCTCATGTCTTGCCGGGTAGGTAATCAACATTGTATCTTTTGCGTTCTGCTTCCTTTACGGATTGGCAGCACACCGCCTCCCAGGTTTACCTCAAGCCGGGCAAACACAGCCCAACGTAATTAGGAATTTCTTCTTTCTTGCACGACTCCATGTTGCAAGTAAGAAAAACGTCTGGCAAACAAGATACTCGCCGACCATACTTCGTCTGCCCACGTACTATGCCCAGCCCTGACTGCTTCAGGGAGCATCATCCTCCAGCGCAAAATCCAACACCACAACCTTTCTTTCCTTCTCTTCCGTTCGCGTGAAAATCGAAATCAACTGCGTCGATCCCGAAACAAATGTCTCTAGCTGCGGCTCCCCGGAGAAACCGTCGCCCTGCCACAACTGACGATACTCGAACGTCGCAGTCGTTCCACCCGCCGCCGTGCCCTTTCGAGGCAATTTGACTCCCACGAGCGTGAGTTTGTTGTCTCGATTGCCTGGAAGCGCAAAGACTATTGTCTCTTTCCCGGGCAAAGCAATGACGTCCCCTCGCGCCCCCGTTCGAGTCGGCAGCACATCCGGCAACGCATGCCTGCTCCACTGACCCTCTGCATTGCGGTAGTAGTGCATCCAGACTTCGTTTTCGCGGTTCAAGACGTGGAAGCCTCCGTTTTCATCTGCTGCCTGTGCCTCTTGGTTTAAGATACCATTGTTTTGGGGGATATCAAACACGATCAGGCCATCCGCGTCTGGGAAGATCGTCTCTCCGATTTCCAGGTTGGCTAGGCGCTCTCCTTTGGAGTTGTTAAATGTCTTTCCTAGGTCGTCGCTGGAAACGTAAAAGAGGTTGTAGTTGTTCTCCGGACCATTTGGTCCCGCTTGGACGGTGTGAAGTCTCGCTTCTGGGTCATCGACGCCCTCATACCAGACAAACCCACGATATGTCCCAGACACGTGCAGCCGGCCGTTGGCATAGGAAATGCCGTTAATGTACGGATTGTTTTCGACGCCAGTCAGGAATTGACCAACATAGGAGTAAGTTTGGCTCTTGCTGCTATACTTGAAGAGGTGGTCGGACCCTGCGCCGGCTCTGCATAAAGGCATTCGCATCAGTGCCACCTTTGTTCCGTCGGGTTCGGGTTTCTACTACTCACATCCCAATGCGATAGCTCAATAGCAAATCGTTGTCAACCGGGAGGAAACGCGGGTATGTCGTTTCTAAGAAAATCTTCTCCGTCGCAAGCTGGCCGGTGCGAGTGTATCCTGGCAGTTGATTATGTGTTGGACTGAACAGCGAGGGCTCCCACTTGTGTGCCTCTGGATTTGTGGCAACACCGGGTAATGACATTCGAAAGCGCAGTCTACATGGCATAGCGTATTGAGTCAACAGGGCACCTGAAAAACAATCGTTCGCAACTCACGGGTCACAATGATGGTCGAACGCGACGTGAATTGTGCCGTCTCCTTGGCAAACGCCGATCGATATAGTATTATGTCCATCATCTGCCGTCTGTTCATAGTCTTGAAAAGTTAACGTCTGCCAATCCCCAAGAGAGTCTCTGATTAGTCGTCGAGCAATATTGACGAAAAGGATGTTGCTGGTCGCATCCTTGTGACTGTAAAAGCAGACATACTGCCAACCGTTGAAAGTTGTCAACGCATCTTGCTGAAATGAGTTGGCATTGATGCGATGCTCACGCCGAGCATCCAAGGCCAACACTGACTTTTCCAGAAGCTTCAATTGGGATGTCATTTCGCAGTTGGTCATGTCTCAAAGTCAACATGCAAGCTGAGAAACAAAACCCCGCGGCAATCCCATGACGTTCCCCTCTATTTTCACCGGGGGTGACGTATGAAATCTTTCATGCTTGTCTTCGGGGAAAGGGGGGCCGAATAAATGAAATGGGCGGATGGCCGCGCGACAATTCGCCCGATGAAGCGACGCCGCTAGACCCTCCGAAGTTTCCTCCGACAACCGACCCTATTGCAATACCCGGCGGTTCTAACGACGCCCGATACCACTTAACATGGTTGGCTCATTGCCTGTTGGACCCGGCAAGGTTGAGGCCGTAGAACCATACCATCCCCGCAGCTCTTCTCCAGTTCCCCCGCGTTTACAAGCATGTGCCTCTTGGTTCTGCCAATGAGGCTTGCTGGGAGAGAACTCAAGATGGGGCCCAGCCCAGCAAACAAGCTCATTCTGGCGGCCGAGCCTTTTCGGCGGTAATGATTAGCAGAATGTAACATTGGGAAAATTAGATATAAACAATGAGAAATATCCTGAATGTTTCAATTCTTTCGCCGGCAGGGTTGCGTTCACTTATTCATCTTTGGCTGCAGTTTCTGGAGTGTTAGCAAATCTCAGCGTCAAAGACTCGAAGAGCATCATGGCGTGGAAGGGAAGAAAACTCAACAACAATGACGACCGGCAGGCGTTAGAGGCTACCACGTCGGTCAACACCAAGACAGTCCCGTGGATCAAGGACCCCGGTCTACGCCCTCTTAACTTTGGGCTCTTTTTCCTTCTCTTTGGCGATGTCGCTCACGGATTTGACGGTTCTCTGATCAACAACTTGCAACAAATCACCAAATGGCAAGAAGGCTTGTCGCAACCAACTCCTCCCACCCCCAACTTACATCGTGTTAACATCTGAGCTACCAGACTTCAACCACCCGGCCAAGAGCCTTCTGGGCGCACTCAGTGCTTCTTACTGGGTGGGAAATATCATCGGTGTTTTGTTAATTCCCCTCGTTGCTGATCGGTTTGGTCGTCGTCTCGCCATCGCCGTGGGTTGCTTCCTCTGCATCGGCGGTGCCATCATTTGTGCCGCGACTATGAACAATGGAGCCTTCATTGCCGGTCGCATTCTCCTCGGCATGGGTGGAGTTATGTGCTCTTCTGTCTCGACAGTCCTGATGACCGAACTTGCGTACCCAGCACACCGCGCTACAGCCACAGCCCTCAGTAGCACAACGTATTCGGTTGGAGCTATTTTGGCGGCCTGGGTCGCCTTTGGCAGTTTCCGCATCTCAGATTCCTGGTGAGTTTTCTAGTCCCGCAGCATCGGCATGTTGTTGGTGTCATTGACTAAATATTGTGCAGGGCGTGGCGGACACCGACTACAATTCAAGCGGCCCCTAGTGCGATGGTCCTAATCGGTCTCTTCTTCCTCCCTGAGTAGGTTCACCAAAGGAACAATTTATTTGCAGTGTTAACCTCGCCATAGATCCCCCAGATGGCTTTGCAGCAAGGGCCGGGAGCAGAAAGCACTGGAGATTCTCACAAAGTATCACGGTGCCGGCGACTCAAACGACGCTGTTGTTCAACATGAGTACAACGAGATCAAGGACACAATTGAAGCCGAGATTACTCAAAACAAAAACCCCTTCCATCTCAAGGCTCTCTTCGCAACCAAGGGCAACCGCTACCGTTCTTTTATAATCATCTGGTGTGGCATCTGTAAGCAATGGAGCGGCAACGGTAAGTTTACAGTGTTTTCTCGCTGTATTAATGTAGCTAACAAGATATAGGTCTGGTTTCTTATTATCTCGGAAGCATGTTGAAGAGTGCCGGCATTACAAAGCAGATTGAAACCACCCTCATCACGGCCACGTCGCAAATGTTTAGTTTCGCGTGCTCCTTCGCTTTTGCTTTCCTGCCTGCTCGGGTTGGTCGCAGGCCGTTGATGCTTACTAGTATGGCTTTGATGTGGGTTGTCTTCGTTGTCATCACTGCCTGTTCTGGTGCATACGTCGAGACTGGAAACCGGCACGCGAGTTACACTACTGTAGCTTTCATCTACCTCTACAGCGGAGTCCACAACCTAGGTTGGACCGGTGCCCAGATGCTTTACAGTAAGGGATTTTTTTCAACGACACGGTAATTGAAACAACAACAGACCCGCTGATATCAATTAGTTGTCGAGATTCTTCCGTACCACATCCGCGCCAAGGGCATGGCCATGTTCAGCTTGGTCGCCGGTATCTGCGGCGCCTTCAACACTTATGTCAACCCTCTCGGCATCGCTGCTATGTCGTGGAAGTTCTACTTCTTTTACGTAGGCTGGATCATTGTCCAGTTTGTCGTAGTCTACCTGGTCTTCCCAGAGGTATGCGTCTGTTTCGTACACTCAAGAGTAATTGCTAACTTGACACAGACCAAAGGACCCAGTTTGGAGCAGATTGCTCTCCTCTTTGATGGAAAGGACGCTCGTGTGGGTCGGATTAATGCCGTGGCGGATGAGATGCTCGATGAGAAAGATGGTGTTGCTATTGAGACACGCGAAAGGCGGTGAAGCGGGGTCTTGGGAGAATAGGGGAATACATACTAGTGCTGTTTGCATATCGTTAGGTGATTTTTGAGTAAGGAAAAACAATAACCGATAAGAGAAGCAAAGTCACATGAAACTATTAGCTTTATTATCACCTATGCAGGCGAGTCAGACGCTATGTGGACATTCCACGATGCAGAGCTCACAGCCATACAGCGTTGTGGAAAAGGAGACTTCTTAAAAACTTTCATTCATTAAGTCCTCGTCGAACTTTCTTTACGGTCTTGATATCAAAAAAGTCTAGTTGTGTAGAAACTGCACGCCTGACTCAACCAGAATAACCCTAGACATAAATCAGTCAATCATCAGTACATGTTCAAACTGTTCCCGATAGAATACAGCTTGCTAAAGAACTCGGACATAGTTTTTACCGATCTCTTTTAGGCCAAGAGTCAATTTCCTATTTTGCACCCTCAAGGAAGGTAAAGAAGGTTGGTTGAGTCAAGTGTAGTATTCGCTGCTTGGGGCTCTTGCGGAATCCATACGTCCGCCGGGAATTAGCTCACAAAAGCGAAGTAAGAGTAAGCACACAAAACATTTGAAACCAGGCTGCAAACTATGTTGGCTTGTGTTGACGTCAGTGGTTCGGGCGAAATACGGTCTTCTTCCCCACACGCTGTCAGGTTCGGGGTTCAAACGCCGATGCCGAATTCCAATACCCTTGTTGGTTCGCCTTGATCGTAGAGGGGATCCTCCATGAACTCTAAATAGAGGTTAACAGATGGATTTGAAGAATCATCAGCAAGCAAGTGGGGTGACATAAGGCAGAATTTTGACCATACCAGAGGTATCCCCGTCGTCTCAAGAAAGAATTTCGATTAAGTATTTCATAGCTACTATTCCGGCTACACCACCAATCTCGAACATCTTCCAGGAATAGCAACTGCCCTGTGAGAGATCTTGACCTTCGTAAATATCCGAGCTGATCGGATAGATCCAATAACCAACCACCAGTGGACTATCTGAAACTTCTTGAAAATACAACGGTCATATTCGCATCATTATTCGTTATTGTGTACAGATAGTGTATGCTCCGGGTATATCATGGCTTGGCCATTCCGCAACAGGACCGAAGAAGTTTAGCCTGTTGACCCTGTAACTCCAAAAATCGAGGTCGATAAACATCCCTCTCATATGCCATACTGCACTATGCTCCAGTGAACGTGTCTGACTCCATAACTGAGTCTGACGTGATACCCGATAATCTTGAAGAAGATGAAGATACTCCACTAAAAGAACCCGCATCGCTTTGTTTCCTTCCCACCGCCGCCAACTTGGGTCGTGTTACCATCGGTCTGGTATTGACCTCAACTGAGACGGTTGTGACTGTTTCACACTGAATCGTCATCCCCAACACGGAGCTCTCTGTGTTTTCGAATGCCCTCGTGCTACTGCTTCTCATATTTCCATTGTTTCTAAGCTCCTTTAAGCTCCCACGATTGAGTCCCTTTCGAGCAAGCTTCTCGCTCCATCTGCTGTAACGACTCCGGTCTGGACGGCTAACTCCTCCGACCACGGTTGTGGTGTTGCCGAATTTTTGTGGTTGGGGACACATGAAAGCAAAAGTCTCCAACCCAACGTCTTGTGACGGAGGTTTGTCGCCTGAGAAAACAATAGATCGTCGCGTTGAAGAGTAGAGAACCACGTCTAGCCAACCATTGCAGGCTATCATTGCACCAGCAAAGCAGAAGTATCCCAGTGATACCTCATGGCCGGCCATGGAAGAAAGGCGGCCAGCCGCCAGAGGCGTTGTGCAAACAACATACACTAAGGGATAAAGTAGGAAGGTGTGGTGTCGAGCGTAGTCAGGTATTCCTGGTACCCGTCGAAGAATCGTCGTAAAGTTCACGAACCTAGGTTGCTTTGTGGATTTGCTTTGGCTGCTACAAGAACTGCTACCGCTCTTGCATGAAGATGCGCTCCCGGAAATCGATCCAGCACCTTTGGATGAACATCCCCGTGAAGATGAACTGCAAGTTAGCTCTGGAGCAGGAGAACCACAACACGGAACTACTCCACCGCTCTTCCGCGCAATCTTCTGTAGGTGTAAGAATATTATCAAATAAATTATAGTTGTGACGATCAAGGAAATGAAAATCCACAGATAGTGCAGGGTAAAACGGATATCCTGGTACTTGGAGTTGATCCAACACTGTTGATGTGTTAGCGTGATGTTCCTGACGTTTTTCTCTTTCTTCTACCTCTGACTTACCCATGCACCAGCTCTAACATAGAGACCGCCATCGTTCTTCCCATTTTTTGTTACAATGACCCCGAGAATCCCGGTTCCGTAAACGAATCCCCACATCATGAGAATTGCAGTATGGAACGCCCACGTGGGCATCTGCTTCAATTTCACAATCGACATGTATGTGTGAATAGCGACGCCTGTGATAAATACGGAGGACGCCAAATCGCCAGTCGAGACAAACCATCCTTGTGTCCAACAGGTTCTGGAGCCGACATCGATGGCGTTCCTGGTTAGCCACTCAACGTTGAGCAGAAACGCCAGCGCCTGCTGGATATCGGCAAGTAGTAGGTTGAAAACGAGTACCAAAAACTGGTTTGGCGGTTCGCTAATCGCCTTTTGAAGCCATGTCTCTTTTGTAGGCTTTTCAGGTTCTTGAGGCGACATCCACTCATCTGGTATTATAAAAGCTGTGTCCGTCGGCGCGGGAGACTCGACCTTGTCCATGGGGTCCCTTTTCGTTGGGTTTGGTGGCCCATTGTGCCAAGATACCAACTTATACGTCAAAAACGTAAGCAAGCCGAGGCTGGTGAAGAAAGACAGGAACCCCATCGTCGCCACAGCCGCGAGTCCATGGCTGAGGACCGGAGGCAGCGGGCGGATCGAGTATGGAGAATTATCCGAGTCGTAACGATCTACCGACTCATTCATCTCCGCGATGTTGAATGTGTTGGCAGTGATACGAAGCTAGGTAACGCTGCCCTCTTGCAGTCATGGGCGGGCTGCCGCTGGGATTATATGACGAGGGGTTAAACCCGGAAGTAAGTCGGATCTGTCGACAGTATAAGATTGATCGAGAGCGAGCCTGGGCGACCAAGCCGCGAATGAGAGCAGCTAGTGGTGCATCTGACAAGATTCCGAGTGCCAAGACTCGTTATCACCGTCAAACTCGGCGAAAAGGTCGAGTCAAGGTAATTGGACGACTCAGCAGTAGCTTTAGAGTACTTGAATGTTTCTTGACTACTCTGGACCCATCGGGAAATGTCCCGCACCACTCAGGGCGCAGTGGGCAATTCAAAAGCATGGGTAAACATCTAGCCTTCGAGGGCGCCCTTCGATTAGAGTTCGGTCTGCGTTTGCAAGATATCAGCCCACCACAACAAGGCTTAGAATAAAAATTGGCCTTCATGTTCCATCCCCGTTCCAGGTTAAAGTCTGTCTTGACGGGACGGACGTACATCAGCTCGCGCCCCGCGGACCCGGTTGACTCAGACGCCTACTACTGGCTGCTCAAGGATTTCCAGAACAGGCTTGTCCCATATTCTAGGGTAAAGACACTTCTTACGGCAGTCCGCAGGGCGCACTGGGTCAAAATTCAAGGTAGTGATAGGAACACCCTATAAGCGTAAACATATGTAATCTCGCGTAAAACGATTTTTGTTTTTATATATTTCTAGGTAGGTATTTGCTTTTTTAGGAAATAAGGGTTTACTATATAAAACTATAGCCCCCTACGAGGCTTTATAATAATCCGTCGGAGGTTAGATCTTCCGGTTCCGGTTGATTAGGTATATAGTCTATGCGTATAAATCGATAAATAAATAGGAATTTAGTAAGGCTTAGAACTTCTTCCTTTTCCTTACGCTAAGCAGAGTTTAGGTATATAACCCTTACTATATAGAAATTTATAACGCTTTCTATACTATTTTATAGAGATTTAGTTTTTATCCTTTATTATACTTCCGTTTTCTTTTATCTTCTCTATTTTTGATTTTTTTTTCCGATTTTTTAAGCTTTTATATATTTCTATATAATTATTTACTAACTATTAGCTTTTATATAGATTTATATATCCCTAGGCGCTAGGCGTCGCCCCCGTTATATTACGTATAGTTTTCTAGCAAAGCTTTATAATATCTTATAATATCTTATAACATCTTATAATATCTTATAACATCCTTATAATCCCGAACGATACTCGATATTACTTTATACTACCGTATATTATAGCTTAGGATATAAAGCTAGCTGCTAAGCTTATGCTAGATAAGATCGGAGATATAAAGATTCCTACGGAGTTACCTGCCGAGCTACCTTCTATATATACTTATGCTCTCGGAACCGGCTACTACCTTACCTATATATATACTTTTATAATTCCCTTATAATATTATACTAACTTATTATAAATAGTATTCCTTATGCTAGTAATACTCTTATTAATAACATTCTAGATAATAAGGAAGTAGAAGTATAGTCTCTTTATACCTTTATATATACCTTACTTTTTTACTTATATATTATATAGGCTTATAACTTAATCGATATTTGCTTTATAATTAAGAACGGAAGACGATAGAAAAAAGCGCTTAAGTATAAGCATACGTAGAATACTAACTCTTTCCTTATATATATATACGGAAATACACGCAAGGATAAAGACTAGTATAAGAACTATATTAAGGGTAATAGTGTTACGGCCAGCTAGTGACAGTAGGGTTTCTGCTAACAGAAGTTGAGGCTACGATACTAACAATAGGTCTTGCGTCGTATACAGGTATGTCGTACTGGTAGATCGAGGGTTAGGGTAAGGTGATCAGTCTTACACTAGGTAACGAGGTATAGTAATATCACAAACTGTGAGCTAAGCTGAAAGTCATCGAGGATGAATTACAAGTTGATTGCTGAAGAACTATCTAGAGGGCTTGAGCAGGTGCTCAAGTCCTGGTCTATATACAAGTCCCGTTTCCCAAGGCCGACGTCCGCGTCGTCGCTTGCCGATATCTCGATTGTCGGCAGCCGACATGCCAAGAGTCGTATCTCTTATTCCTTTCTTATCATCACGTGACTTGAACATAGTTCTTCCTTTTCCGGCGGGGCGACCCTTGTCCCTTCCGTCGCCTGCATATATCTTGTCTCTAGCCGCTGTCCTCGAGTGGGGCTAGTTTCTCTGTTAGGCATACTTAACGGGTCGTAACAAATAGTCTATATAATACTTATGTTATTCTAGACGGCTATGCTAGCTATACTAACTATATATATAATTCTAGCGTTTCTAACTATAGCTTTAGTAAGTTTCGTCTTAACCTATATATAACTAAATATAAATCTAATCTATTCTATATAGCCTTATCCCCCTCGAAGCAACCTGCCGTAGAGATTTATACTTCTACCCCGAGTAGTAAGAAGTTATACGTCTCTTATACGGAGTATAACTTTCTTAACGCAGTCCGTAGTATTAAGCCTAAGTATATACGACTTATTAGAAATATATTAGTTTCTATCGTAGACAAGCTTACTAATATTAAGTATAGTATATTATTATATATATCTAGTACCGTCTATATATCTTTACTAACTATAGTTATATATAGATAAGAACGAAAACATCGAGATTAAGCTTTATTACGACTAAGCAAGACCTTATAAAATCCTATATAACCGTATAACAACTAGAGATAACGTAAACATATATTTATATAATGCTATAAATACCTACTAAGGCGTATAGAATCGGGAATCTAGTATATAGAAACGATAGGTATACTTACAGGAATGGGAGGATAGATACAGGCGTTTACGGTTGGTAACTTTGGTTTGCGGGTCGGGCACTTCTATACAGGGTTTGGCACCCCTGTACAGAAGCGTAGGACTGTCCGTACCCTTGCGTTTTTAGGTTTTTTTTAAGATACCTAATTCGTATTTCTTTACTAATATCTATATTTTCCCGTTCTCCTTCGTAAATCTCCGTATAGACTATTATAATACCTTACTATAGCTAGCCGGCTACGTATCGACCTTACTTTTTTTTAATCTATTATTACTAAAAGTTTTAGAATAGCTAGACTTATTCTAATATAATTATATATCTTTCCGAATTATTCTAAATTTAGGTTTCTCCGTGTTACGGCCAGCTAGTGACAGTAGGGTTTCTGCTAACAGAAGTTGAGGCTACGATACTAACAATAGGTCTTGCGTTGTATACAGGTATGTCGTATGTGAGCTAAGCTGAAAGTCATCGAGGATGAATTACAAGTTGATTGCTGAAGAACTATCTAGAGGGCTTGAGCAGGTGCTCAAGTCCTGGTCTATATACAAGTCCCGTTTCCCAAGGCCGACGTCCGCGTCGTCGCTTGCCGATATCTCAATTGTCGGCAGCCGACATGCCAAGAGTCGTATCTCTTATTCCTTTCTTATCATCACGTGACTTGAACATAGTTCTTCCTTTTCCGGCGGGGCGACCCTTGTCCCTTCCGTCGCCTGCATATATCTTGTCTCTAGCCGCTATCCTCGAGTAAGGCTAGTTTCTCTATCAGGTATACTTAACAGGTCGTAACAAAGCGCTTTCGTAAATATATTAATAATAAGTAAAGGTATTATACTAGTTATTACTATATTAAGCATATATTATTTTAGTTATAACTTTTTAATACTTATAGTTTAGTAATAAGTAGATCTACTTAACTTTTAGAAATAAGTATAATAATATAAACGTCTTTATTAAAGGTAATTAAGGCTTTATAAAGAAAGGTAAAAAGGTTTTTAGCTTTATATACTACCTTACGAAACTTATATATATTTATAAGATTTTTTAAAGTAATAAGTATTGCTTTTTAGTTTCGGTTAAGGAATTACTTCTTAGACGTAAACTTTACTAAGACCTTACTTATTATATCTATATATAAAGTAAACTTAGAAGTTAATAAGAACTATAACTTCTTAATAAACTTTTTAATAAACTAAACCTAAGTATATATTCGAATAGAGATTCTATCTATATCCGTAATATAAAAAGATATAAGCTATAGGTAAATAATAATATCTATAGTTAGGTTCGGAACTAGTTTCTTCTAGGTTTGCTAGATACTAGCTATACGCTCTTCTAAGCCTTTAATAAGAGTAGTAAGGAGACTATTATCTAGCTATATATCTAGTATATAAAGTACTTATTCGATCGGGTTAGTTATAGTATTAGAAAGTCGTATACGTAATGAAATCGTAGCTGTTAGAGTTTCGAAGTCGTTAGTATTTATAAGGTCGATTTTGTCTAGTTCTTATACTTAGGATAAATCGATTAAACAAAATACATACGTCTTCTACTTCTATAGTAGTTTTACTAAGAAGTAGTCTAGGTTAGCCTGCTTAAGGCACCTTAAAAACATATTCGTATAAAATATAGTAAATATTATTATTAAGAATTAAGAATATACTCCTATACGGTCTCGTAAAACTCTATATATATACGTATACGAAATATAGAATTCGCTTAAATTTATAATAATTACATAGTAAAGATAAGAAGCTTAACTATCTATACGGGTAGTATATGCTTATCTCGTTTATGCATCCTAATTAGGCAATGTTTGAATTTTGACCCAGTGCGCCCTGCGGACTGCCGTAACTTCTGATAAAAAGGCTTTTAATTGGATCGTTCGTAAAAGTGTAACTGAGAGGCTTCAAAACATCCGAGCACATGTTGCCAGACGTTGGAAGCTGACCGTGCGTCTCCCGCAAGGTTGTAGTCAAGCCCGTTGCCGATGGCACACCGTGAGCAGGTGGTTTCTGTCTGGCTTGAACGATGGCCCCGACCCTTTCGAGCACTAGTAACCTTGCGTTTGTTTAGTAAACCGGACGCGAGAGCGAGCCGAGGCAACATGCATTCAGATGGATCATATTCCTTTGGCGGTTCCCGTTATGTGATCCCGTATCCC